AACACGCAGGAAATCATGCTGGGGATTTCAACACTTTTAGTCGGGGCAGCAAAAAATGGGATGGGGGCCTCATATGTCCTGGCATCACAACATCTGCAAACATAGGAATTTATTTTTAGCTCTTCACTGAAAAAGAGGAGAAAAAAGGAATCCAAACCATAGGCATTGACAATGAGAGTATTCTTATGAATATATTTCAGCAGGGAAACATAGAATAAAAATATCCCTGCACAGCAGACTCATTTCTCTGCAGTATTCTAGGTCCTATCTTTCTTCTAAGCTTGCTGTTAACCCAAAACAAAGACATTGATGGAGCTCAACTATTTGTAGCCAATCCCTCAAACTCTAATTAGACGAATTGCAGGTGTATTATTCCTTCTATACATCCTGCCTTTCCCATAAGGTGGCATTTATTCACTGCTCTTCCTGCCTCCATTTTATCCTGCTCAACATTCCAAAATAGATTAGGCTGAGAGAGAATGAATAAGGTACAGTCATTGAGTGGCCTTCCAAGATGACTGGGATTTATAGTACAACATTGGAAATGCTATTCCTCTACAAAATGTCATGACTCAGATGCTGACTCTGAATTTGAAGAAACTGTTCTAGCAGAACTTATGGTCACCAGAGTTTGATCAAATACAGGTACCATCTGAATAGCTGGAGTAGTCAGATAATCATGATGTAATATCTGTAATACTCTGCACTTAGTGAGTAGGGTGAAGAACAGCGCAGATTTTTTATGACCTTCCTTGCAAAGCAAGAGAATGATCTATGGGTTTTGTATGACATTTCTATAGATGTTTCTTGAGAAATTCTGACCCCTGGACTGGCTAACAACCCTGGCCTGTCTCTTGGAATTTGGGATTAAATTTTGATTATTTTTATGTATATTCCTGTTAACAGCAAAACCATTCAAGCAAGTTTCTTTTAAGGACTCAGTTTTAGTTTACATTCCTTGCTTTCTGTTATCTCCTTGACTGCTAAATTTCCATTGCGACTATGTGTGTGTGTGTGTGTGTGTGTGTGTGTGTGTGTGTGTGTGTGGAATCAGAAGGACACAAGGACACAAACACTGATTCTCTATTTCTCACAGTAGCAGCAGATTGCAGGAGAAATATCAATATCAGTATCATGTTAAGTGATATGATTGGTATGATCATTAATACCATTATCATATGAAATTTCTTTAATAAAGAAATCCTTGGCATTTGTTCCTTCCATAAAAAGTTAGCCATTAACTTGTTAATCTGTTTAAAATATTTGAATGGAGCCCATATAAATACCACTCTCAAATGTCTATGGAAATTTTAAGTCATCCAGGTCATGATTATCCCAAAGGTGCATTTTCAAGAGGCAACTTGATTTTCTTGTTTTTTCTCTGAAGATAATGCATTGATACATGTGTAGATCTGTACATTGGGGAAACAAAACAACCATTTCACAAACACATGGCACAACATAGGACAAAAAACCCATCATGTCAGCAGTCCATCAGCATTTAAAAGACAAAGGCCACTCTTTGAAGACGACAAAGTCCATATTTTGGACAGAAAAGACCACTAGTTTGAAAGCACGGTCAAAGATGCTATCTATGTCGATCTTTATCTGAACCCAAAATTAAAATATAATCCCTGGTTACTATTATTTGATCTACCTGCAAATCAAAAAAAAATTGATAAAATGTTTAGGCTTGTCTTTAAGCTGGACATTAAAAAGTATCTAAACCTGTATCTACTGACTACCAAAATTGGGCAATCCCCTCAATAGAGTATTCAAAATCTTTTGTCCTGTAATAAAATTATGAGGCTTCTAAATTAAAATTAAATTACTTTGTGTTATAATTTCTGTTTCACCTTTGTTTTAAAAGATTACATAAAGTTCATGTACATCTATTAGAAGGAAGAAATTTGGTACAGTTGCAGTGTAGGTACAATACTCTATATAAATGAATCCATTAACTTTTCTCACAGGCCTCAGCTTTTGGGTGGGCTCTTACAGCTTGGTTACCTAGTGGTTTTTAGATGTCATGTCCTGAAATTCCCAACATCCTAGGTCACTATAAGTAGATTGATGTAGAGAGTAAGGATGATGACCTTGATGGAGATATGCAAGCTTTGTTACCAAGGCAACAAAGGGAAAAACATACCTTAAATCATTAATCAGCCAGATAATGTTCATGAGTACCTCAGACAGATACCTACCTAATTCACCACAGTTAGATTGCAAGAGATTCTGTTATTGTAGCCAATTTCCCCCAGAGTAGTTTTAGCCTTCCCTTGCAGTTGATTTCTTGGTCTGGTCTACCTAGAACTGATAGGCTACAAAGTTGGGATGTTGCTGCCTTGTAAAATCTATCCAATTTGGTTAATAACTTTTGGGTCCCAGTTGTGTCTTTCTAGAAAGCTGGTTTAGTATTTTTCCCAACACAATCTTGTTGAATAGAGAAGGAGTATGGCAAGCATTTTTGCTCTTTCTCTCTCTCTTTCTCTCTCCCTCTCTCCCACTCTCCCTTCCCCCTCTCTCTCCCCCCCACTCCCCCATTTCTCCCCCTCCCATCCCCACCCCCGCCACTGCCACAAGCATTCCCAGACAATGATTTATGGAACTTAAACACTGCAAGAGGTGACGAAGTGGATTTGTTTATGCACACAACCAACAGACCTTCCAGCTCCAATTTGCCATGTGTGTTTGCAGTAAAGCACCTCATTCATGTGGCAATTGTTCCTCCTTCCATACATCAAGATCTTTTGGATCAAATCCCCTGCAGTTGCCCTGAAGATAGAACAGGTCATGGACCAAGAATGCAGATGCGTTTTCCAAGAGTTAGGAAAGCAGGAAAAGGCTATGTATGCGTTGGCCCCCAAATTAATAGGGAGGTCATACTTACACAAGGTGTGTGGGTACACACTGTGGCAGGATGCTTCATGGGTCACAGCTGAAAGTTAGCAAACACCAGAAAGATCCAAAAGGAGCAGAATGGGAAGAGAACCAATTTCAGGTTCTTCTAGCTGAATCTTAAAACCTGAAGACCACTGATATAGCATATCCCAAAGGCATCCCTACCTTTCATACACAAATCAGTGGCACATACAACCTTGTATAGTTGGCCAGTATTATTCACTCCATGTTGCAGCTAGAAGTTTCCAGATCATTATCAGCTATTTAGCAAGAACATGATTCATAATGCAACCAAGTAGAAATGACACTCAGAAAAGATCATCAGCTTATATGCTGCTAAGTAATATTAGTCCACATTAAACATTTTTGCAAAGACTGCACCTCCCGAACTTTCAGCACAAGAGCTGGAGGCATCTTTGGGAACAAGACCTGGCAGGAAACCTAATGTTCAACAGCTGAGACTGTGTCTATCCCAGACAGTTTAAACATGGGCTAGCGGGGAGAAATGAGGAGGAAGAAAAAAGGGGGAGTTTGGAGGGGGAACATTACACAGCTGGCTGGATACAAAAGTTTATGAAACATCCTGGCGGATATGTAATAAATTCAGGGAGAGAAACCAACCCAAGTATTTATGTTGGATGAGGAAGGCTGGTTTTGCAAATGGTTTTACAGAGTTGTTTTGAAGAAGAAAGAACAGGTAGAGCTCATCCTATATTCTCTTTTTTTAAAAGCCGAAGAGGGTCTGTGCCTTCAGCAGATGCAGCATTCCAAGCATGAAGGTGCATTGCAGGAGGGGAGAGAGTAATTTCCACTTGTTATTGCTTCTGAACTATTGCTCCCACCAACCATAACCATCCCCTTCTCCCTTAAAAGACATCTGTTCCACACAGTCTTCCCTGTTTCTGCTAAGCTAGTCTGCTGGCTTAGTAGGATGGAAGACACAGTCAGCAGTAACAAATAGCCAAATTCTAGCTCAGATGATTTCTGCATCTGAAAATGAAAATGAAAATTTCATTTTCATACTTTTATAGAATTGTGGCATGGGAAAGGAGCACAAAGATCATATAATCTACTCCTCAGAGTAGTAGAGAAAGCCCACTTAAACCATCCTTGAGAGGTGACTATTCAGCCTCTTTTTAAAGCCTCCTGAGATAGAGAACCTATAATCTCCATAGGTAGACGGTTTAGTGGAAAACTTTATAATCAGAAAGTTTTTCCTTATGTTTAAATTGAGGTAGCTGCAAATTATTACCCTTTATTTCTGGTTTTAGTTTCTGTGGCAGTGGAAAATGATTCCTGACCATCTTTTGTGTGTGTGTGAGTGTGTGTGTGTGTTTGTGTGTGTATCCCTTTATGCTCCTGAACACTTAGTATGTGTCTTCTTAGTCTTCTTTTCTTTAGATTGAACTTCTCAAATTCCTTCAGCCTGTCTTTACAGGGCACATGTCAGCTTTGTTATCCATTTCTGAATCTATTCTAACCTGTCAGTATCCTTCTGAAAATCTGATGTCCAAAAATGTGTAAAGCACACTGTTGCAGGAATAGATTGATGGATCGATAGCTCGACAGACAGACAGACATTTTGCTCAGCTTGTTGAGATTGTGAAGTATTATGTATTTATGTATAGATATATAAGGTGTTTATATAGTAGATGTTTACAATTAAAAATCAAATTATGATGAGCCATTACCAAGAAATTACAGTAATTAAATTCAGTGTCTAAAAAGCTTCAGATCATTTGTACATCCAAAAGGCATATTTCTATTCTGCAAAAACAACAAATTCAATATATTTAATGATTCCCAAATCTAATGCAACAGTGATATTCGTATTTCTGGGAGCATGGTCCCTGCAGGTTGTACGGATAGAACTGTTATAGTTTTAGTCTTGTAGCATTTGCAGAAACTGTTGAAAATCTATCTTAGACAGCTGAATAAGGAGGATTGGACTAGTGTATCCATAACACTTTTTGGAATTCTGTTCAAAATCAACTGGGTAAAGGAAGGATCATCTGAATAGTGAATGAGGAAGGAAGGTGTGAGGTGGGTGGAGTGAGAAGAGGGGATAAAAGCAACCATCCCTTTCCCCACTCAACATTGTGTGGCACTCAGAGGCTTTGAAAAGGGACTGCAGCATTTCACAATGGCCAGGTTGAATCTCTGTCTTATGCTTCTGCTCTTGTGTTTGACCAGGTGCAGCCTGCAGGGAGGTAAGTCAGACCGTTGTGCATGAAAAGGGAATTTACGTAACAGGTAGGAATGAATGTAGAATCTGATCTTTTTTTTTTAATCACAAGTATGGACCCGTTTACATGAGGAAAATAGGACATAATTAGAATTTAAAAGCAAATTTTAAAATATGAATGCAAGAGACACAATGCAACTTTATACAGTTACAAAGAGAATCAGAATCCATGGTTGTCCTATTTTTCCATATATATATATGTTGTTTTGTTATATACAAGGCCTTACTGTTTCATTTTTTTAAAAAAATCCAACGAAGTATTTCAGCTACATGAACATTGCAGTGGGTGAAACTATTGCAGACAAAAATCACATCAGATGATATCTGCTTCTGACCCATTCATCTGATGTGATTTTTGTCTGTGGTAGCTTCACCCACTGCAATGTCCATGAGCTGACATACTTTGCTGGATTTTTTTAAAAAAATGAAATAGTAAGGCCTTGTATATAACAAAACAACATATTTTGGTTAGGGGAACTCAGTGAGGTGGCTCGAAAGCCTGCAGGAATCAGGTGATTAAAATGAATAGCTTGTCACTGGATTTGCATATGATCAATGCAAGTTTGCTAGTAAATTTCAACCTGAGTTCATTTCCACTAAATTGTTCAGGAAAAAGGAAGAAATGGAAGTGGTTAAGGTAACAGATGATGAGATAGGTGATAAGGGAACAGTTCTTCATAGAGTGTATGGAGTCAGGAAAGATTAGTAGTTTCGGGGAAAGCAGAATCTGAGGTTCTATTCAACAAAATGATGCCTCCAAAGCAGTAGAGCGGGATTACCCAATGGAAGAAATTAGGTTAATCCACTTTGCCAACAAAGCCTGGCAGGAGAAGAACTTGCTTAAATTTTTATATGGAATGTAAAATTATTTATACATAGCACTAAGTGGGCAAAAAAAGTCTTAATAGAATTTTTTTAGCTGTTGCAAAATTTACCAAGGCATGCCATATATTTTGAGCATAGGATTAGTTTCATCCCAAATCTGCTTTTGCCTCCAAATTAAATCTTTCTTATGATTACACATTTTGAGGATTGTGTATGCTGTATATTTATTTCCAATGGGGTACAACAGAACGAAGTTCCACAGAGTCTACCTCCAAGCTTCACGGTCTTAATTTTATCACAATGTTCTTTTTAATAAATTCAGTGAAGAAGAAAAGCATCAAGAATCAAAAAGGGAAATCCTCCAATTACTGTATGAAATGATATTTTTAAGATGAAACTTAAGTGTGTTTCTAGCTAGGTTCTTAAAGAATATAAAGTCTCTCACAAGGAAAGTGGCTGCTGTTTGCTGTAGGTGCTTTTCATAAAAGAGTTGAAAACAATACAAGGTTTTGAAGAAGACAGTCCAAAATGCATTAGGCTTCTTATTAACATATGAAGACAGACAGAGATTGATTAGAGATTCTCTCCCCACTTTTTTCTTTTATGATAAACACAGTTTTCTATTTGAATATATTACACTATTTTCAGCCTTGTTCTTTTTTTTCCCATCTTAAAGATAAAATTTTATGTCCACAAAGATTTTGCAGCAGGCAAAAAAGAAATAAAAGTCCTATTTTCATTAGCTGAAGATAACCAAACAAAAACAGCAGATACTACTGTTACATATTAGGAAAAAGATCCAAAATATCATTATGATAACACTTTTGTTAATGCCAGTTAAATAAAGGGTTTTTTTAAGGTTTTTTCACTCTAAATCAGGCCAAGAGTAAAAGGAATTCAAATGTCAATGGAAACAAAGGGCATTTGTTGAGAATTTTTTTAAAAAAATATTTAGCCTGCAGATTAAAATCTAATAAAGCAGTTTTAATCAGCAGACTCTTTCTCTGAATATTTTGAGACTATAATGCCCCAAATATTCAGCAAATATAATCAACAGCCAACTGTGTTGGTATTTCTGGGAGTTTTATTGCCAGTACATTGAGATAAGCCCCTATATTTTATTTACCTTGCAGGTTCAATACTGACCCAATTAACATTTTGGCTTACAACTGTTCAGATTTTGTATTTTACAAGCTTATCCTCTGCTTTGTCATTCTAGAACAGGGTCAAACTCAAGGCCCACGGGGTGTTTAGATCTGGCCCACAGGGCCGCTCTGGAAACAGTGAAGGATCAGCCCATGGTGCCTCTGCCAGTGAAAACGGAACTCGGGAAGGCCGCGCGTGGCCCTCCTGAGCTCCGTTTTCACTGGCAGAGTGCTCGAGCCACCACAGGCGCCCCCAACACAAATGATGTTGAGCTGGCCACGCCCCTGGCCACGCCCCAAGGTCAAACACAACCCTGATACGGCCTTCAATGAAATTGAGTTTGACACCCCTGTTCTAGAAGACCAAGGATGTGCCTTCAGTCTAAATAGCAAGATATTTCAGGCAGATTTTTTAAAAGCATTTCTTTCACACACAAGATTTTTTAGGAATGGGATAGGTGCCTCCAAATCTTGTTGACCAGTCTCTAATCAATGAGAATTAAAGTTCTAAAATATCAAGGAGCTGTCTGGCCTAAGGACGCCAAATTCCTCTAGTTCTCTTGTCCACCTTCTGCACACAAAGGCCTCCTTAGTGCCCTCAGTAGGGGGGGAAACATTGACACACTCTTGCAAAGCCAGCCAACTCTCTATGCCAAGAGACACTGCAGTTCTAGGGTGACTTAGAAGTTCTGAATGTTTCCCCACAGCGATTAAATAATCCTTTGGCATGAAAGACTCAGGCTCTGAAAGCAGCTTTGTGAAAAGGCCCAGACTTGACCCCATCAAGTCTGTCATGAAAAATGTTGCATCTGGTGGATGGTTTCCACCAGATGCAGCAGGAAAATTGATCTCTCAACAACCAAAACGATCAAGTGTTATAGCAACTTGAAGTGCTACAGCACACAATGGCAGTTGAAGACAAGAGTACATGTGCTGGTCACTGTGGACCTGTTGCTCCATCACTTCCAGAGAGCAGGGTCCACGGTCTGGGACAACGGGAATGGTAATTCAGCAAAATTGGAGGACCTGAGTAAGAAAGGATGTTGTGTGAGGATGGATGATAATGATGATTAATTCAACCATCTGATATATTACAGAATTACTGAAGAGGGAATTACTAAAGTCTTCTACCCAAAAGACATACTGGAACTTAGAACACAAAAAGCAGATTAAAAGCAGATTAAACTAACCTCACTCATAGTTCATTGATTTATCTTTCTCTGAAACTAAGCTCAAATCTAGGATGAGCATATGCATTTCATAATGAGATGCTGTATCTTCTCCCCCACCCCTTAAAGAAGACAAGGGAGATCGTAGATTGCATAGTATTTACATATAGTAATTTATATGAATAAAAGCAAATGTATAATTGCTATAATTATTTCTACTTAGAAATCTTTCTGAGATAAGATTGGGAACTTAGAGAACTTAGAGAATGTGATTGGTTTGTTTTTTTCATCTGCTAACCAGATGCTAACGGCTGATGGCCAATTTGATAGCTTCTGCCAATCGCTGTTTAAAACTTTCTACCTTTAAACCTGAATGGATTGGACAGCCCTTTCAGTTACAAGATGTTTTCAGCCTTTTTAGAACTGCAAATGATAATTGCAATCCAGTTGAATTTAAGGCTAGTTGAACTAAGGCAGAAAGGCTATGACGTATAGGATCTGTTCGCACAATCCCCATGACATCACTAAGAGCCCTGGTGACGCAGTGTCTAGAATGCAGTATTGCAAGCTAATTCTGCTGACTGCCAACAATTTGGCAGTTCAATTCCCACTGGCTCAAGATTGACTCAGCTTCTATCCTTTTAAGGTCAGTAAAATGAGGAGTCTGGTTGTTGGGGGCAATATGCTGACTCTGTAAACCGCTTAGAGAGGGCTGTAAAATACCATGAAGAAGTATATAAGTCTAAGTAAGTACTATTGCTATTGCTATTTTTCTCCTTGTACCTTAAGCAAGGCATGGATATCCAATCACCATGAAATGAACTGTAGGTACAAACCCAGCTGCTTTGGTTCAGGTCATAGCAGTACCAAAAAGAATTTGACACCGGGAATTTGTGTCTATATAATTTTTTTAGGAATATAAAAAAAGTTTGCCATTTTTTGTCCTACATGATTTTTCTTTTTCTTTCTTTCAAATTTACCACTTCAGCCCTAACAGGCTCTATGCTGCTTAGTTAGTTACTTTAGATCTATGGAAACAGCCTAAGTGTTGTCACCTAGTTGGGCTAGTCAACAAATTGTGATTTAACCTGATGTGACTCATTCTCAATTTTTCCCCAATTTATTTTAGGAGTGAAACCTCAAGTAAGTGGCCATGGAGGAGGTTACTTTTCACCTCTAACAAGAGGTAAGTATTTTGTGTTATTCCCTCTTCCTCAGCCTTCTTAGAAATAGAGTGGGATGCTACCGTAATTAATTGATGGAGGTCCCTTATTGTCAAAGCCTATTCCAATGAGTGATTTAAAATTTTGTACATAGAAATTGAGCTAATTTCCATGCATTCATAGCACAATGTGGTTCTTTTGGAAGAGGTAATAATCTAGCGACAATCATCCACTATTCGTTTCTTCCTTTTTCAAGGAATTCACTCCTTTCAACAGACCTGGTTTATAACTCAACTGAACTCTGAAACTTAACTAAGGAGGAAGGGAGGTCTGTGGATGGGTTAAAAAATGTCCAGAGAGTGGGTATGGGTGCATGGTTGAACCCCCCCCCCCCATTTATATGAATTTATATGCACATGATGCATATAAAAAGTGATGGGGATTCAGTCATGGAGTTGCAGCTGCCATCCTTGACCCATGGATGTCCCTGACTTCAGCTTTCCTTGTTTGTATCCTGTCTTTCAGGTGCAGGAGCTCTTCAGCCAGGAGCTGGAATGGGACTAGCTGGAGCCAAAGCTGGTAAGTTATTTATTTTATTTATTTATTTTATTATATTTCTATACCGCCCTTCTCCTGCGGGACTCAGGGCGGTGTACAGCCAAGATAAAACATAACGTATAAAATTTAAAAACATTTTAAAAAACAATTAAATAATTTTGGCCCGAATTTAAAACAACCCAATTAAAACCGAATTCGATTAAAAAACTGAGAGGATGGGATCAAGCCAGCCCAGCTAGATGGAACAAGTGTGTCTTCAGGGCCCGACGAAAAGTCCGGAGGTCTGATATCGTGCGTATCTCAGGGGGCAGGTCATTCCAGAGGGCATAGAGAAGGCTCTCCCCCTGGGGGTCGCCAGCCGGCACTGCCTGGCCGACGGCACCCTGAGGAGGCCCTCTCTGTGTGAGCGAACCGGTCGGTGGGAGGATAACAAGTTGGATAACAAGAGCAAGTGGGAGAAGAGATTCTCTTTACAGGTAGTCCTCAACTTACAACAATTCATTTAGTGACCATTCAAAGTTACAACATTACTGAAAAAATGGCATATGACCCTTTTTCAGTCTTTTAATAGCTACATGGACACGTGATCAAAATTCAGACATTTTTATGATGGTTGCACTGTCCCAGGGTCATGTAACCATCTTTTGTAACCTTCTGACAAGCAAAGTCAGTGGGGAAGCCAGGTTCACTTAATGACCGTGTAACTAAATTAACAATTGCAGTGATTCACTTAACATCTGGGGCAAGAAAGGTCATAAAATGGGGCAAAACTCACTTAATAAACATACCTGTATTTCAAAAGAGGAATAAAATGATATTATTATCCCTTTCTGCCTCTGTTATCAGTTATTATGCACTGTTTTTGATGTAGTATCAAAGATATTTTGCCTCTTGTTGTATAAAGGCACTGGGATATTAGGGAACTGCAGCTTGAGATTGCTCTGAAATGTGTTTAGGACAGGGGTGGGCAACTGTGGCCCTTTTACAACATGTGGACTTCAAATCCCAGAATTCCTGAGACAGCCAAGCTGGCTCAGGAATTCTGGGAGTTGAAGTCCACTGGTCATAAAGGGGCCATATTTGCCCACCCCTGGTTTAGGACAAGGTTCATCCATCAGAGTCATAGATGGGAAGGGAACAAAGTGAATACCTCTTCGATTTCAGTGATGGCATGATGATCCTTTAACTACAAATGTTCTCTCTTTTTGTCTCTCTCATAAGTCCCAGAATTTCTTAGCTTAGTCCCTGCCATTTTATCGACAGCATTTTTGGAAATGTTTTGCCCTCGCCTTCTTCCTAGAGCCAAGAAATAGAGACAGCTGGTTTTGTGCCTAAAGCAGGATTGGAATTCTTGGTCTCCCAGTTTCTTGCTCAGTGTCTTTAACCTCTGCCTCAAACTGGCTTTTTTATTTGATATGAATTATAATTGTATCTTACAATTTATGATCTATGGCTTGTCACTTTGTTGTTTGTATGAACACTGAAAGCTTATGCATAAATTTCTTGTATGTCCAATCACACTTAGCCAATAAAGAATTCTCTCCTCCCCTCCCCTTCCTTCCCCTCCCCTTCCCTCCCTCCCTTCCATTCCATTCCATTCCACTCCATTCCGTTCTGTTCCATTCCATTCCATTCCATATTATCCTACTATTAAGGAGTTGAAAGGATTAAGCAGGGTGATCTCCCCCAAATTATCTCTGTAACAGCACCTTAAATTAAATTGAGGCGTAGTTGTTAAGTGATCTGAAGAACCAGTGGGTGTCATAGATGAGGAGGCACAAACCTAGGGGTTTTTTTTCCTGGTTCATATTATACTTAGCATATGGTAAAAGTTAAAAAGCAATATCGGTCATAATTTGTAGCACAGACTAACCTGTTATTATCCTTGTGTTTATATTTTCCATTTTTGTCTTTTATCAACATAGGAAAATACTCTGCCTTTGGGACCCAAGGACTTACTGTAGGAGTAGGTAAGTTTAGCCAGATAAATTAAATAAATCTAAGAAGTATGACACTTTTGGGGTGGGTTTTTTTGTTTGTTTGTTTTTTTTTTGTTTTTTTGTTTTTTTGTTTTTTTTTTTGTTTTTTTGTTTTTGTATTTGTGGGCTAGAGTTTGACTGGAACAGAAACACTTGTATTTGCCTTCTAAAAACTTGAAAGGACTGGAGCCTCCTTTACATTTGGTGACATAGAGTAGAAAGAATTTGTTGACAGAGTCAGCTCTTGAATATATGACAAATACCATAGAAGCAGAAAGCTAAAAGAGTGATGGAAAATGCTACATTTTCCTGATGTGCCTGAACACAAGTAGTCCTCAACTTACACTACAATTATAATGGAGCCTGCCCATTATAGCTGTGACAATTGTAAAGCAAGTATCACATGACCAGACCCATTTTATGATTTTTTCTGCATCACCAGATCCATTTTTATGATCTTTTCCCTGCAGTGGTTGTTAAGCAAATGCAGCTGTCATAAAGTGAACCCACTGTTCACCATGGGCTGTTTTTGCCAAACCCCAGAAATAAATGCTTGTTTTGAACAAAAACAGCATAAAACATGTGACTCTAGGACACTGGAGCATGAGAGGCATACATACAGGCCAGTTGCCAAACATCCAACATTTGGTCACATAAACTGGGCGGGGGGGAGGGGGGACAGCCATTGGAATTCAGAACTAGGTCACAAGTACCTTTGGGGGGGGGGTCTAATGTAACTTTGAAGAGTCATTAAACAACTGGTCATAGGTCAAGGATTACCTGTCTATGTTAGTTATTTGCAGAGTTGGTTATTTATTCATGTATTACAATAGTTATGAACCTTTCAAAATATGTTCTACTGATGTTAAATAGTCAGCAATACACTAATATTCAAGATGGCTGATACGGTGTTATCCTCATACATGTGCAAAAGAAGAAGGGCTTCTATTGTTATGCAGCAATAGAAGCAGTTATTTTGATCCTCCCTGTAGAAGGCGTTAAGTCTAGTCCACCTTGATATTTAGACTGAATGTAGACCCAGGCATTTCTAGAACTCGGGTGTGCAAATTTCCCCCCAGAGAAAGTTTGAAGCTAGAATTTTCCATTTTGATTCATTCTGAGGGTTCTGAGTAACCTAAAGACTGTTTGAGGATGGACCATTTCTAAAATGCTTCAAACACTCAGATTAGGTTGGAAGGTCCAAGTCATTTATCGACCACTCTGAACAACCCACTGCAATCTCCAAACATTTTGAACATGCCTACTAACAAGTTCAAAATGTGGACTTCTTGATTTTAAAGTAATTGTTTCATATATTTTTTTCATCCCATTTTTCCATCAGTTAGAGAGACTTGTTCTTTCTTATTCAATACTTTTATCTTAATAGCAATCCGACTAGGATTTCTAGACCAGCACAGTAACAGTGATTGATAAGCCCATTCTGTTTCTCTGCTGCTGTATTCATCACAACCAATCTAGTCTGAAAGATAGTCTGATGCAAAATTTGGACTCCTCCGCTTTGCCAATACAAACAAAATGTATGGTTTGAGGGAAATAACCTTAAGTCTGCCTGCAGTCACATACAAGTTTTAGCTTTCCTTGTCTATCCTTGCAGGAATTCAAAATGGATTTGAGGCTAGACGAGGTTCTGGGGGCAAACCAGGGAAGCCAGGTGAGCAATGCCTTTGTTGATAGCCGGATTCCAATCTGTCAGTACAAAATCCTATACTGACAGTTTGTGTGCTAAATATGCATCAGAGACTATGACGCCTACTCAGGATAGATAGAGTAATTGATTTCTTTTACTCAGCATAATGAACCCAACCCTGAGCATAGAAAAGGTAAAATTCCTCCTGTCCAGTCATGTCTGACTCTAGGGGGCAATGCTCATCTCTGTTTCTTAGCTGAGGGAGCCAGCGTTGTCTGAAGATGCTTCTGTGGTCATATGGCCGGCATCAGTGCTGGTATTCAGCTGGTTCAATCCGGTTTGGGTGAACCGGTAGGGACGACTGCGGGATGCCCCGCCCACTCACACGGATGTCATGTTCCATTTTTCCATGTTTTTGAGGCTCTGTGCATGCATGGAAGGCCTTGCGCATGCGTGGAGATGGCAAGTAAAAGCATAGCGAGTGCACATGCATGCATGCACACATTTGCAAACCAGTAGGGAAGGTAAGTGAATACCACCCCTGACTAGCATGACTATACACTGAGGCGCACAGAATGCTGTTACCTTCCCACTGAAGTGGTACCTATTTAACTATTTGCATGCTTTTGAAGGAGGAGCTGGGGCAAGAACAGATGCTTACCCCATCATGCAGTGCTTCAGTCTTGAACCGCCAACCTCCCAGATGACAAGCCAGTGTCTTAACCGCTAGGCCATCGCATCCCTTAACAATCAAGTTCTTAAGATATTTGTGTTGCGCAGATTTAAAAGAGACTTAGCAAAAATGCAGAGTTCTTTTTGGAGCTGAAGACCACCACTGCCTTTTCAGTGGCTTCAGACCAAAAAGGGGACAGGGCTAGGAGATTACTACCTATTTTATTTAATCATTGTTCCCTTTTGTGACAATTTAGGAAGAAGCTTGGAACAATAAACTTGGAGGAGCCTGTTAGGTCACAGATTTGCCTACTATGTAAACAACAATTACTGCAGTACTTTAACAGCAATCCCTCTTTGAAATAATAGAAAATACTTATAGCTCGGGTTTTAGATTTTGGCAATCCCTTTTTCATTTTTTTTCTGAAGTGATTGATGTTACTATCTAATGCTTCTCTGTCTGAATCTTTCTATCTCTCCACAGGTTACAGAATGCCAGCTGGATATGGAACTGGTATGATGGGCCTTTCTTGTTCAGTTTCAATACATGCACTGTTCCATGTTCAAAATAGGTATTCAGAGTACATTAGTCCAACATAAAAACAAGCCTAATGTGAACATTTCACATTGTCAGTCTTCCTGGGTAGATGAGACCAGACAGGAGGCATGACCAGATGAGTCAATTCTACTTTATTGCAAAGGATTAGTTTATTACTTTATTAACAGAATCTTGCAAATCTGAAAGTACAAATCTCTCACCCCTTTTACAGACTGAGAAATGACTGAAGTTCCTTTCTGAGTTTCTTCCTCTTCCCATTATGCAGCTGCAGGCTGTGCCATCTCTTATCTGATCATTTCCTAAGTAGCACCTCTTCCCCCACCCCTCCCAATGCCATTCCCACATTTCATTACACACGTGGTATCACTTTTGGAAGATCTAAAGCAGCCAAGGTCACAATGTTCTGTGATGGCATATTCTACACACACCTACTTAAAACTCAACATTGGGAAATGTTGAGCTCAATATCATGGGAAGGTTGAGAGATAAGAATTCGATTTTTGAAGTCTTCTATCCACTGAGTTGAAGTTCTCTACCCTCATCCTTGAGTCAACAGAGGATTACATGCAAGTACAGCTTGCTACCCCACTGTTGATTCCTGTCCTGCTTCAAATGGCTTTGTTTCCAGTTATTGAAATCAATTGATTTCTCTTCAAGATAATGAGGGATGAAATGAAACAAATTTTCTATACCGTAAGACTGTCCTTAGATGCTGTCCAGATAAGGAGGGAAAACCCCTACTTTAAGACTGGAATGACTTAAGCCTGTCTCACTTTTTACAAGAGGATAAAGTAGGAAAAAGATGTTTTTAAGATGTGTTTGTGCCGTAGTTAAATGCATGTGAGACAAAGTCCATAGAAATTCCTTTGGTTATTGGCAGTTTTAGCACAAAATGGGGGGTCTCACCTCTCAGTGCTCTGTTATCAAGCAAACAGAACTGTAGGAGAAATCAGTGGTGAAAAATGAACTACTTTATTAAGCCTAACTCTGTTTGCATTATTGAATAATATAATTACTTACGGAATTTTGTGCCCCAAATGATTGGACTTTATGCACAAATAAGAAAGACCGTGTCTTCACATTTGACATGATTCATTGGAAAGAGAAGAGTTAAAGCAGATGGAAAGGAAAGTGAAAAGCAAAAGCATTGGAAAAAGCAGAGTGAATCATCATGATAACAGGCCCATCCAGAGAAAGAGCTTCTAGTAGAGGAGGACCAGTTATCTGTTGGACTATGTAAACCAGTTTCCCAGTCTTTCTGGGTTGGCGGCCCAGAGCTGCAGGGAAGGGGAAAAGAGGAAATAATTTTGTGGGAGGGGCAGGCACGTGCACAAGCACCTGTTTGCTCACGTGAATGGAGTTGAGAACACCTGCAATGCTTGTGCGAGTGGGATCGTTAGCCCCTGCGATACTCGCACGAGGGGCTGTGAATGTGCCAGTCGGCCACTCACACGGTCCGGTTGCAAATAGGCCATGGCCCACAGGTTGGGGACCCCTGCTGTAAACTAAGAAGACTGTTGAAAGAGCAATGGTATTGATGCCTTCTCTAGACCTCTGATGGTGGAAGATAAGACCAAGGAAAATTAATATATATTTGCCTGCACAAAGATGAGAGATGGTTGGCATTTTAAAACATTATCTTCAAAATCAGAGATTTGCTTGAATTTTATGATATTCAATGCCAGGAGTAGGAGCCAGCTGGCTCTGTTTTTCTAATGGTAAGACAGGCCGGCCATGGACGATTTGCTGATGACATTTGATTACAGCAGTATTTCTAATGAAAACATGAAGATTTGATATGGCCTAAACACAGAGCTCTGCCCATCTTTATAGATATGGGAAGGAAGCCACCTGCTCTGTGTTTTGAAGAAGTACACAGATCCCCTTTTTAAAACATTTTGCAAGGTTAGGTAATTTTGCAGGACTATTAAATAAAAACTATGTTTGATTAAGTGCAGAGAGATACATCAGGAACTATTTTGCCCAATGATTTGAGAGACAGTTATGGAATATTTCAACCAAACAGGTTGTCTTAAGCAAATGCTTCTACTGTCTGGCATTAAAAAGAAATCTGAAATACTATGAAACTTCTTTGACTTAGATCTGTCAGAAATGATGTAGGGTCTCCTGCTTGGGTGGGGGTTTGGACTAGATGACCTTCAAGGTCCTTTCCAACTCTATTAATCTGTTAAAACACAAACTTAGGATAGGCTGATAACTGGGTATGAATTTGGGAAGTCATCTGAAGTCTTTAACATTAGGTCAGCATACTTTTCTCAGTCCTTATTATGCTCTAGCCCAGGGGTCTCCAAACTTGGCAACTTTAAGACTTGTGGACTTCAACTCCCAGAATTGAAGTCCATAAGTCTTAAAGTTGCCAAGTTTGGAGACCCCTACTCTAGCCTATAAAAATATCTAGACAGTATCAGATTAAGGAAAACTGATTTGATATGATTATCTAAAAATGCATTGTTCACCTAGAAATGAAATATAACCACTGATAATTTAAAAGTTTGAAAAGAAATGAGCATTGTCCAAACTAGGATTTAGCTCATGATGCATCTTTGCTTTCCAGGCATCAGAGGTGTTGGTTATCCCCATCAAGGTCCCCCCTTGGGAGGTAAGAATCCTGGCTTGGATATTTCTTCTTCGTTTTATGACTCTTCTTCCCAGCTGAAGAAGCACTTCTTTTCTAAAATGTTGGGGAAATAAAAATAAGGGAAGATTAGAAAATACAGAAATCGCATGGAATTTTTTTGCAGAATAATGTATGGTAAATTAGAACAAGGTACAAATTACTAGAAGAACCATCTCACACTAATAAATCCATCTGAATTAAAACAAATGTAAAATTGATTGTGACAGTTTAACACCTTAGCATTTTCAAAACTTATATTTAACTATAAAAGTAAAATTTCAGATTAGCTGAATGATCTATACAATAAAACTAAACAATCTTAGTCAACAACTCTTATTTTAAGATAGCCCAATCCTCAGATAAGGCAGCAAACCACATATAGTCTTGTGCTCCATACATAGTTTAAACTGAAGTTGACTTTGGACCAGCTAGATGATTCTACATTTTTTTCCCTCTTAACATTTCTGTGCAAAACACATCTTGCTCGAAGTATGCCTTTTTACAAGCTTAGAGGCCCACCAGGTGATTTAATTGCATTTCTTGGTTAAAAACAACCCTTCTTTTGCCTGTGTTGACTTTCTGGAAACAGTTGGGTGCCTCTTTCATTTTAAGATTCTTAGGGATCAAGTCTTGTAATGATTAGTTTGCTGATTTTTCTTTCCTTTTATGTGAAATCTTAGATTGTTTATTTAATTGATAGCTCTTGTTGGGTCCATTTGAATATTTTGGTTTTCACTCATTAACACTTGGCAGCAGTCAGCCTAATTAGCCCATTATTTCTATTTATTGTGGCAGATTCTTTTTTAAGTGTTTTTCTTATGCAAATCATGTTTCCAGTTTCTTCCTTTGGAGTCTGTCTGTATGAGAGTATATACATGTATATATATACACGACTATAATAACGTGACTGTTATTAGTGTGAATGCTCAGAATGTCATTCTTTAGAATTGCAGCTTGTTACCAAAAAAAAAAAAAGATGAGCAATGCCAGATTTGCATGTATTATTAATAATAATAAAAAAGGAGATCACTGTTGATTTTAGAAAGAGCCTGCATAATCATACTCCACTTTGTATTAAGGCTACAGCTGTGGATGTGGTCAATAGTATGAAATATCTAGGATAACTAACAATCTGACTTGATCTCTTCATGTTACCTTTAGTGAAGCATGCAAACCAGTATCTGCATTTCCTGCATCGGATAAGGAGAGCACATCTTTCTCCTTCTCTCCTGGCTACTTTTTATAGAGGCACAATTGAGTGTGTTTTAACAAATATGTCTAGCAAATAGAATAACAGAGTTGGAAAGGACCTTGGAGGTCTTCTAGTCCAACCCCCTGCTTAGGTAGGAAACCTTACACCATTTCAGACAAATGGTTATCAATCTCTTCTTAAAAATTTCCAGTGTTGGAGCATTTACAACTTCTGGAGGCCAGTTGTTCCACTGATTAATTGTTCTAACTGTCAGGAAATTTCTCCTTAGTTCTAAGTTGCTTCTCTCCTTGATTAGTTTCCACCTGTTGCTTCGTGTCCTGCCCTCAGGTGCTTCAAATTGCATAATTGTTTGGTTTGCTGCCCGCAGTGCCTCAGGTAGAAGGTCCATACTGAGAATGGTAAGGACAGCCAAGAAGATTATAGGAAGCTCACTTCCTATTATTCAGGATACTGCTTATAAGCACTGTGCACTTAGAGCTCGGAGCATTGTTACAGACCCCACACACCCACTTTATGGTCTGTTTCTATTGCTCCCCTCTGGGTGGAGGTTTCAAAGGACCTATAGCAGGACTACTAGATTCTGTGACAAGTTTTGTTTCTTATGCCATCCATCTTGCAAAATTGCAGGATTCTTTTTTTTTCTCATCAGTATATGTATACATTTGAACTAGACTGATGTTTCTCTGTCATATGTGGGTATATGCATAATAGTTATTTTTTCAGAGCTGAATGTAATGAAATTTCATTTTAACAGCAATGTATGCTGATTAGTGACATTTAAAGTGACAATAAAGTTTTTAGTCTAGTCTAATCTAGTCTAGTCTATCCCATCCTATCCCATCCCATCCCATCCCTATTCTACTCTACTCTAGTTCCTGTTCTGTTTTGTTCTGTTCTACCCTGTCCCTGTCCCTGTCCCTTTCCATTCTAGTCCATTCAAAAAGCTTCATCTGCAGAATATATAGACGTCTGACTTCTCACTCCGTCATCCCACAGGTCTTGGAGCAAGAGGCAAGCCTTCCAAAGCAGGTAACAGGATCTCAGCTTCCCCAGTAGTTTACTTTTGGGACACCTGAAATATATACAAGGTAGTCCTCAACTTGCAACTGCAACTGAGACCAAAATTTCTGTTGCTAAGCAAGATTGTCGAGTGAGTCCCACCCAATATACTGACTTTTTTTGCTATGGTTGTTAAGTGGGTCACTGCAGTTAAATGAATTATGTGGTCATTAAGTGAATCCAGATTCTTCCATTGACTTTGCTTGTCAAAAGCCAGCTGGGAAAGTTGCCAGTGGCAATGACACAATCCCAGGACACTGCAACCATCGTAAATACGGGTTACCAAGTGCCTGAATTTTGATCACGTGACTCTGGGGCTGCTGCAGTGGTCATAAGTGCAAGAACCGATTGTGAGTAATGTTTTTCAATGCTGTTGTAACTTCCAGCGATCACTAAACAAATGGTTGTATGTCGAGAACAACCTGTATGTCAAGCACCAGGGAAAATCAGGTGATTTAGGCAGTTCAAATGAATATAAAGATTTATTGTAAACTTAAGCTCTCTACAGGATTCTGAGCTCCTAATGGTCAAGGGTAATGAGCAAGAATTAAAAAGGCATTCAAGGTGGGCTCAACTTAGATATCTTGTGAGCACGCAGGGACTCATGGCTTATGACATGTTTGGCCCCTCCCTCAGGCTTAGCTTGGTCATCTCCTACACTGTATTACATTCCAACACAAAAAGACTAAGCTAACTTGCATACAGCAGCTCACATATTTATATTGCTCAAATTGATGCTGTTTACTTAAAAGCAAGAGCAAATTTTCATCTTGTTACCGCATATGGGTTCTATACTGGTTAAGCCTATCCAGAATATTCGAGCTATTTTTAGCATTCAGTCTGAAAAACCAGAACCTTCATAGTATTCAGCATGTAAAATTGGGACTCTTTCTTCCCATAATCCTTTGTTCTCTTCTAAGCTCTACAGAAGTAGCATCTCTTGTTTTGTTCATCTCTCTCTCTCTCTCTCTCTCTCTCTCTCTCTCTCTCTCAGCATCATCTTAAACTTCTTTCAAGGGAATGCCAGAAAGGTGGCAGCAAAGTAAGCCTTGTTTTTGCAGGCTCATAAGAACTGGGATTTTTGTCTCAGGCCATCTCCAGAAAAGGCTTTGGAGGGATTCTATGGCCCACTTGTAAATCTTGGTCCTGTCCATATTGGTATTGAAAGCCTTAAACCGGCCCGTTTTATTATTTCTTGCAAGACATCCATTTAGTTCTTATTAGACTATCCAGAAGTGCCAGAAAACTTGGTATTTCAGGTTGACATGAGATTTATTATGTCCATAGGACAAAGTCATCCTTTTATCAGCATTCCAAAAAAAACCCTGCCAATGTTTCCTGCCAATTGAAGTTTCTGATTTCCCTTTGCTACTGCACTGCATACTTCCCTCCATGTAGATGCAGTTCCAATGCAAGAATTGAATTGAGTGCAACTGATCAGCCAGTTACGAATCCATCTGGTGGTGATACTGTCTTACCCACATTTTTCTATCTTATCAAGCAGTAGTTGTGATCTACTTTATCAAATGCCTTTATCAAATGAACTCTAGGTGTTCTCTGATTCGTTGTTTGATTATCTTTGATAAGTTACCTAACCAACTTATCCTTGTCACTTGGATCCAAAAATAACACACCACATCTTGTAGCTGTCTTTGGATGTGAGGGAATAGTGGGAGTCTCATCATTATAAGCCATGCAGAGCAAAAGAAGGTAAAACTTCAAACCAATGCTAACGTATGAGAAAATTCTGAATAGGTTAAGTCCAGGTGCAGAACCTGTCTGTATGAATTTATAATCAACCAGAGACTACAGTTGTATAAGTGAGCTGTTCTTCCTAGTTTAGGATTTTCATCTGCTACGTTTGAGCCCTTCATTTCATAACATCCCCTTGCTCTTCTCTAAACCATTTTTTTGCAATCTGACTTTCCACTTTGTTTGTTTGTTTGTTCGTTTATTGGCTGCCCATATTACCACGGGGCAGCTTACAATCTTAAAAAGATAAAACTATACAAAATCTAAAAGACATAAATAAAATACTGTAAAGATCCAATTATTGAGACCCAATAAAAAGATGGGGAGGGAGGGAGTAGGGTGAGAATGGGGGGAGGCGGGATTTGTTAATCTGTTTTCTAATTTTTACTTTTGATGTATCTCTACAAAGATCTTCCCAAAGAAGGATTATTTTTTTCCTTCTGGGTCACTTATCTCCACAGAGATTCGGCATTTCCTTCTCCTTATTTATAAGCATGAATTTTCCAAACATGAACATAATGAATAAGTATATAATGTCTTTAAATGTCACATATTTAAATAGGTGATCAGAAGCTTCACTATTTGATCTTGTTTTGATGGAATTTTGAAAGTTTGCAGAAAATAGCAAAAAATGCCCACATGCTGGCTTCACTTAATGACCACACGGTTCACTTAAAGACCACATGATTTGCTCACTTAATGACCACAGTGACTCACTTTGTGACCGGTGTAAAAATAGTTTTAAAATCAAGTTTTAATAATCGCAACAACTTACAACTAAAATTCTGGACTCAGCTGTGGTCATAAGTCAAGGACTACCTGTATGGTGTCAACAATAGGAAAACCCATAATGCAGTGGTCTTGAGCTTGAAATGCTAATGTATCCATGTTCATTGGATATCTGGTGTCATAAAGACAAGGGAATCCTGGGAAATCATATACTGTATACTAAGCTCTCTAGCATAACAGTATAATACATTGTTGTTGCATTATTCAAGGGATTAAGAAAGGAGCAAAGGATTGCTTTTAGGGATTGGTTCAGCCAGATCTTCACACTGTTACTAGTGCCAGGGAAATGAAGAACAAAGGTGGCAACAAGGCAGGATCAGAGAAGATTATCAAGGGAAGCATTCAGAACATTCTTAGCTTCTGATTACCGTGAGCAAGTTACAAACAGGGCTCATTTCTGAACACAGCTTGATAACCTAGGAATTACCCCACAGGGGGTTTAGCTGCAAAACTGTGGCTACAGAGTCACTGAGAGTTTTCTAAAGGTTTATCTCTCTAAAGGTTTAGGCTCAATTTTCTTTTTTTAAAGCATGCCTTTTAGCTATTCTCTGTCCCTCCTTATCTGAACAAGAAAGATATTTTACATATCTTCAGAAGTAATTATTTCCAGTTTTCCATGTCAACCCTGCTGTCTGAGCTTTAAGTAAATGATAAGGAAAAATAGCAGCAGCACTTAAAATTATATACCGCTTCACAGTGGTTTACTGTCCTCTCTAAGTGGTTTATAGTCAGCATATTGCTCCCAACAATCTGGGCCCTCATTTTACTGATCTCAGAAGGATGGAAGGCTGAGTCAATCTTGAGCCGGTGAGTCAGCAGAATTAGCCTGCAATTCTGCATTCTAACCACTGCATTACCACGGTCTTAGGATCTCTCTTTCCTAGAAGAGGAAAAGAATGTCTCTCTCTACCCGTGTCTTGGTTTTTATAGTGTATTTTCTTCAACAGGATATATGGGTGGTGTTGGAGCTGGAAGCTTCCCAAGTAATGGAATGCAGAATGGATATGGCAATGGTAAGAAAGCTACACATGTTGTCACACAGGATTCTGAGATGTAGGTACTATACAAATAGACTCCTTCATAGAGTCACACTAATTATACTCTGTTGTTCGTGGACTTGCATGCAAAAAGTTTAGCACGTGCCAACTTCTAGTCAAGGAACATCTGGTAGGAGGTGGGTCAGAGTGACTACTACTAAGCTAGTGGGGCAATAAATGTGTTATAAAGCAGCTTCTTTGGACATACTATTATGTGCAGATTGTCCTTTTAGTTTCCTCTTTGTTCCCATTTCTGCCATCTTGTTTTGGGATGCTTGAGACACAGGTAGTCCTTGACTAATGTCCATAATTGGGACCAGAATTTCCATCATAAATCATTGCGATCCTAAGTCAAGTTAGACTCAAATTTACCACCATTTTTAAGTGAATTGCCACAGTCATTGAGTGATTCCAGGCTCATTAAGCAAACACCACAATTGTAAGTGCAAATCCATTCTTCCAAATGGGCGTTTTTTTGCCATAAATCAACACTTCAGGACGCTGCAATCAGTCGTAAATGTGAGTCAAACACCTGAGTTGCAATTATGTGAACATTGAGTTGCGTGACAGTCACAAGTGCAAGGATCAGTCATAAGAGTGAAGATTGGATATTTTTCAGCAGCATTATAACTTTGAATAGTCACTAAACAAGTGGTTGTAAATTAACGATTACCTGTCTACAAGTTTTTCACAAAGCTAATCCAAGTTTTTCACAAAGCAGATAAAAATCACGGCTGCATATCTATTTCATGCAAATTGTTCTCGGTTTTCCCTGGTATCACTAATTCACAAGCATAGACAGCTGCATAAATGAAACAGCCCAAAAACATTTGCACATCACTTGCTGCAATAAATAGGTATGTCCAGAATGTGGAGCTGTTGACCAATGTATTAAAAAAATAAAAGCTGTCTTCTTTATCTGAATTCAGCTGCTTTAAAATACACAATAGATAATTCAAGATTGATGGCTTGAGTTTCTAGCTGGCTAGAAAAATCATATCTCTTCTTTTACTTTTTCAGGCTATGGAGCTGGAGGCAATGGATTCCCTCTCGCTGGAGCTCAGCCAGGTGGAAATGAGGATGGGTGGCATTAATTTCTCACATTTGTTTTTCTCCTTTCCTCCAAATAATTTAGAGAGCCGTTTTAACATAACAACTGATAAGGGAGGGTAGGCTAACCAGATGGCAATCTGCTTAAGCCTTCTGGCCAAGTTGATGACAAAAGCCGTATTTGAACATTGGTTGCTCATGTTCAAATTCAGCAGCTGCTGCAGCTGCACCATATTGGTAGTAATGGAGAAATTCACTTGGGACTGAGATAGTATGAAGGAACCAAAGAGTAAAAAAGAAGTGGGCTACAGAAGTTGTTATGGATCTCTAGCTCCATGTGAGAGCTTATTTGGATTATTATTATGTGCTTCAGCCAAGAAAGTGTGACGGTTAGGGAGCAAGTCATTTGAGCTGGTGAAAGTGTAAGGAACACTAGTTGAAGGTGCAAGGAAATTTAAGTGAGACCCAGACAAATATACCAATTTTCTTCAGTGTAGTTCAAGGTTCATGGCAATAGAAATGTTCTTCTGAGTATGGCTCATGGTTGGAATATCAGGCCCAGTCGCTTATACTGCTATAAGTATAGAACCAAGTAGTATACTAGTTTCCCATATTGTCTTGCAATTGTAGTCCCAACTAAATATTCAGCTAAAAGAGATGGCCTACTGAGCTGCAATGTTTTCTCTTTCCAGTGAGATTTATAATTAGATGGATCAGCATTTTGCAAGAGCAAATGTGTTGATTTCACACATTATGCTAAGCCATGATTCCTTTCAATCATGTTTTTTTGAACAAGCCACACTGGGCTAAACCATAAACCACTGATTCCAACTGTCTGTGGCTTTTACCTCAGACTAAGCAATTAACTATGATCCACATAGTGGAGTAAAATCTACAAGGACTCGTTTGTTGTTACTCTCACAACTAACATTCTCACTTTCTCCTACTGTTTACAACTGTGGATTTGGGGAGTGAATACTTTCTCCAGTTTGAAGAAAATAGATTTTAGGAAATATGCAGATTTGTAAGAAATTAATCACAATCGATCTTGAATAATTGAATCAGTGCTGAGATGCAGTAGCTAACCATGTTTTAGCCTCACTTTTGTGCAAATTCAGCCCATGTGGTTTGTTTAAAGTCATGGTGATGCAGTGGTTAAAATGCAGTACTGCAGGCTAATTCTGTTCACTGCTGACTGCTAGCAGTTCGGCAGTTCGAGTCTCGCCGGCTCAAGGTTGACTCAGCCTTCCATCCTTCCAAGGTCGGTAAAATGAGGATTCAGATTGTTGTGGGCAATATGCTGACTCTGTAAACCGCTTAAGAGGGCTGTAAAGCACTGTGAAGCAGTATAGAAGTCTAAGTGCTATTGCTATTAAATTCCAGGATGTTATGCAAACCTCAAAAAACATAGTTATTATGTTGGCTTAAATGTGTCATGTGAACACAATCTTTAGGCTTGTTTCATTCACAGGTGCCCAGATTCCATATGGCAGTCAGCTAGGCGGTCCAGCTGCTGCTGCTGCTGCCTCCACCAAGTATGGAGGTAAGTCTCCAGGCTATGACAAATGAACAGCAATATTCCTCCGCCACTCACTGGCAACCCAACAAATCTTTGTGCAGCTTGAAGTTAGCCAAGTGAACTTTGCCAAGTGATTAGCAAGCTCTGAGTACCAAAGATATGACCTCAAAATGGCTTGAGCAGAACTACATTGACCGTTGTTCTGGTTTTGCGAAGCCTTCTATCATGGCTTCCTCCAAAAACAATCATATCCTTTGACCAAGGCAAAGAGAATTTTTTGTGGAAGAACCACACATCTCCTCAAGATTCTTTCTTAAGAGTGATGTCCTTCCAAGGTACTGGACAGAAAGTCACTGCAGATGATGGAACTTTTATTAGAAAAGTACCACATTGGGGAAAGCTGTCTTGGAACTTCAGATCCTTGGAGAGAGGGAATGCCTGTTCCATCTAATTGGAATTAAAGGTGTAGTCGTGTGAGGGAAGGGATTGTCTCTGTTCCAGTTAATCTTCTGACTGCCATCTCTGTTACAGGGGCTGGGCAACTTCCATTCAGAGGACAACCACAGCAACCAGTAGCTGCCGGCCTGGGAGATTATGGTGCTGGCAGATATGGTGTGTGTAAAGCAAAATCAATTGTAGTGGGATTATTAATACACTATACAAGAATAGAAAAATAACATAGATTTAAATCTAACGCTAACTAACTCAAGGTTTAGTCTTTTTAAAGATCCCAATTTTTAAGACTTGCTAGAAAGGTGTTCTGCCTGTAAACAGATTAAAACATTTGTAGGCAAAGAGATTTCTTCCCCACTAGGTAACGCTTTTAAGAACTGAAATGATTATCCATATCCATATATGACATATCCAAATATGTCATATATGCGAGTAGAGTTATACTTTATCATCAGTATGGGGAAGAAGTCCAACACATAAGGGTGAAACGATTTTACCAATTGAATTCCTCTTCTGGTCAAAGAAAACAACAATAGAGTGGCATTGCTAGAAGATGCATTAAAGAGTTGCCTTCTTGGAAAGCTGAACTGAAGTTCAGGAGTAGATTGCCTGGTGCAGAACATTCATTTCTTTGTAAGCCACATCTCTTGCACTGAATATTTCCTTCTAGGAGGCCCCAGCCAGCTGCCATATGGTGCTCAACCTGCTGGTCTTGGAGTAGAAGGTAAAGCAGGACCATTTGGTAAGACTATTTCTTCTTGGTTTTTTTTATTGTTTTCCAGAGTTCTAAATTATCTTTGATGGATCTCCTTCCCCTTGCTATACATTTTGTTTCAGAGGTCTGAATCAACTTACGGTTTAATGCTTTCAATATGGCATGGTGGGACATAGCAACTTCCTTTTCTATACCAGTAAAATTAGTTAGTACAAGAGTGATCAGGGCCACATGTCACTCACATCCCAGCGTTTCCCCCCACAATAACTTCATTTGTCTTTTTTTCTACTTTCCAGAATTAAATAAAGGAATGGAACAGTAGGTTTTAGGAGGCAAACTGCTCCTTAAATTCCTCAAAAACATATGAAATGAGTCTCCAGATGACAATCTGAATCCCCCTTAAATAGGATTAATTTGGCCCTCAGGGGCTCCTTTTCTCACCTGCTGCATTAAAAAACAAGAAAAAAATAGCATATGGTTTCTTGTAATGTCCCCAAAAGTTGAGAAACTGTGTTAAACCCCACTTCTCCTTCCTTCCAGGATTAGACTATATCAGTGATGGCTAACCTTTTTGCCATGGCGTGCCAGGAGAGGGGGGGGGCAGGGGAGGGTCGCATGCGCACGTGCCCACGCGCATGTGTGTGCAACCCCCTCCCCCCCCCTCCTGGCACATGATGGCCTGGTAGCCCGTTTTTCTTTCTTACCTGGTTTCAGATCCTCTCTGTGTATGTGGGAAGGGCGAAACAGCCTTTCCCACTCCCTTGAAGGCCCTACGGAGGCTGAAAGGGCCCATTTCCCAACTCCCGGTGGAACAGGAAGTGACATTTTTTGCTGTCCCCAGCCTCCAGAACCTCTGTAGGAGTCTGTAGGAGCCTCTCTAGGAGTCTCTGGAGGCTGGGGACAGGAAAAAACATCACTTCCTGTCCCACCGGGAGTGGGGAAATGGGCCCTTTGAGCCTCCATAGGGCCTCCAAGGAAGTGGGAAAGGCTGTTTTCGCCATTCCCAGATACACAGAGAGGATCTGGAGCCAGGTAAGAAAAAAAAAACGGGCCTCCCCCCCCCCCCAGGCCCTCCAGAGGCAGGAAACAGCCTGTTTCCCTACTTCTGGTGGGCCCAGAAGGCCCGAAAATCAGCTGACCGGTGCGCGCATGTGCCCCAGAGCTGAGCTGGCGTGCCCACTAATATGGCTCCGTGTGCCACCTGTGACTCGCGTGCCATAGGTTCGCCATCACGGGACTATATGATTACTCCTTGCCAATATGGGCTTTGGAAGAAGGAAGCTCCTCTTCCTTCTTAGAAAGATAATGCTGCAAGCCAAGCCTGCTAGGTTGCAAGGAACCTTTGTAGATCTGACACCAACCTCAAAATCCCTAGATTACATCTGGAGAGCCCTGTGTAATATGAAAATTTCTTGTATCTATGAAATTAAAAATTCACTTTCCTGCTTTTTGGTCTCTTTCACCCAGGTGGGCCACAAGTAGGATATGAATCCCAGCCTTCCCAGGCAATAGGGTTGGATGGTAAGAAATTGAATCTTCTACAAGTTAGGATGGAAATAGGAATGTTGCAATAGTTTATTGTGAAAAGACAAAAGTATTCATTATTCATGTCTTCTTGAGAATCTCAAAGTGTGAGTGACCAAGTTAGAAAACACTTAGCATATGATTGACATAATAAAGGAGCTCCAATTTTACTCCTGCATCTTTCTCTTTCTTTTCTTTCATGTCCCAGGGCAACATTCTCAAATTTCTGAGGAGCTGTTAGGCTAGCCTGTTGAAACAAGCCCAGAAAGAGAGATTATTCTGCTTTAAATGAATGATGTATTGTAGTAAGATATGGTTCAATTATGTTTTCTTGAATAAACTGCAATCGTCTAAATTTACACACCACACTGCTATAAATCTTGATTTGCAAACCAAAGTGGTTGAGTATATTAAGCCAGGGGGAATCCCTAGCTGACAGAATGTAACTTCAGGCTGCAGATGTGCAACTTTTGACATCCCCTTTGTTAAAATACAATTTAAATAGCGAAATGGTTAAACTTAATGTGCCCATTTTCTTTCAAAAAAAATAAACTCTCCCACCCAAAAGAACTGCAAATCGTTATTTCCCCCATTCCACTCCAATGCAGATCCTGAAAATCAGAAATAAACACACACAAATGACTGTGTCTACATAAAGCTTCCACTCTGCACACAATTGTCATATTTTTAGATGACTAGTTGCTGTTGACAGAACAACTGGACCATTCAGACAGGACAGTCTGTTCAGTGCTCCTTAAGTGTTGTATTAGATATGGAAATATACTGTATTGCCTGAGTTGGATACAGTTGAAGAATAGTTCTCAGATTGCCAGCAGAGTATCCCAGGACACTGAAATATACTTTCATTAGTTTTCAGTGATACTATTTTAGATGGAAAACATAAGTTCTGTATAGATGATTGAAGGTCATTATTGGTAAACTGTGGTCAACAATTCTTCCTAGATTCCCATTCCAACGATCAAAATTTACAGGAGGGGAACATAGTGACAGGGCATTTGATGTGATTTTCTATTTTGCACGTTTTTCCCTTTCTATTTTTCCATCCTTTGCAGGAAACGGAAACGGACTAGGATATTTGAACAGTAGAGATCTTCAAGCTAATGGACTGGGGGCAGGTAAGGTTAAGTGTGAGCCTTCACTCCACCCCCAGAAAAGACTCTTAAATCTTTATCCTGCTGCTAGTTATGTAATTAGCATTAGAGTGTTCTGACAGTCCTAATCTTAATCTTCTCCCTTTGTCACATGATACTAGCTTTATCTCACCGTAGCCCATGATTTAAGCAGTCTTATGTTGATTTTAACACTAACTCTGCTAAAGCCAACACAGAACCATGATGGGAAATGGTCGTTTTCTGTACTACCCATCCCCTTTTAGATGGGTGTATTTATTTGACCAGCTTTGATCAATGGATCCTGGAAAAGTCCCTGTATTTTAGGTGGGATGCTTTTAGCTGTTCATCAGCCAGTCAGCAAATATCCTCACTACTATCAGTATCAATAAGGACATTTCAGTAGCCAATCAGAGTTGTAATAAGAACCAAAATAGCACATCTCATCAGGACATTATTATAAAAAGAGCATTGGTTGAGCTAAGTTAAGGAGCCGTGGTGGCGCAGTAATTAGAATGCAGCAGGCTAATTCTGCAGATTGCTGGCTGCCTGCAGTTTGGCAGTTCAGTCCTGACTGGCTCAAGGTTGACTCAGCCTTCCATCCTTCTGAGGTGGGTAAAATGAGGACCAAATTGTTGGGGGCAATATGCTGACTCTGTAAACCACTTAGAGAGGGCTGGAAAGCACTATGAAGCAGTATATAAGTGCTATTGCTATCACCAGGGAGGAAAGGCTCATAGTACCATCAAAGATTATCTTGCCTTTTCGTTGTGCTTAAATTTTGCCTCTTCTTTTATCTGGCAGCTGCATATGGTCCCCTTGCTGCAGGGCAAGCCCCAGGAGCATACGGCAGTCTGCTAGGCCCTGGACAGCCACTAGGAGGATATCGTAAGTGGCATTACAGTTCTGTTTTCCCATCTTTTTTACTCGTTTGCTAATATCCTAAAACTGGTTGGCCTAAAATAAAGAACTTCCAGAGTTTTGGAATGAGAAATTATTTTTCAAACTATGTGTCTGGGTAATTCTGGAGTCTTCCAATATAAGATCCTTAAGAATTGTATTCTTCAACAATTTTATATCTAACTGCTTGAAGTGAAAATAATCACCAACCAATTTAATAAGATGAATTCATAATAATCAATAAGATGGTATTAAACAAAGCATTGTTCTTTAAAAAATTTAGTGTAATAACAAAGGAAGCTTTATGGTCATCAGTTTGGAGAAAGCAAGTTGTCATTTAAATAGAAGCATACTATGTATTTACTCAGTGGTACTTCCTAATCTAAGGACTGTTGTTGAGAAGGCTTCTTTTATATAGTACCTTCAGCATTTTGGACTTCTTTTACTGCTTTCCTGAGTTCATGGTCTAGTTTAAGGCATCAGCTAGAGACCAGGAGACTTGAGTTTTAATCTGGTTTGAGGCATGAAAGCCAGATGGGTGACTTTGGGCCAGTCACTCTCTCTTAGTCCAATTCACTTCACAGGATTATGGCTGTAGGAAAAAGTAGGAAGGAGTATTGTGTACAGTATGTTCACCTCTCTGAGTTACTTCTAAAGTAATAAAGATGGAATAATTAAACCCTACAGATTTAGGCATAATAAATAAGTCCCTCTATCCATCAGCACTCTACAACCAACTATATAGCCAGTGAAACAGTGAAAATCAGTGCATCATGTTCTTATCTACTGCCGCCACCTCTTAAAAATGTAGGAACATAACTCAGAAATAATCAATTTACAAACACTTTCAAGTACAGCCCAAATAGAACACTTAATGATTAGCTAATTTGAGTGTCACTGAAGCATGAGTGATAGGACCCCGATCTGATGGTAGACAAGCTACCATTAAAAGCACTTCAAACTTCTGTAACTGGGAAAGATTTGAAAATGTACTTGGCATGTCATTGGGATATCTATACAGCTTGTGTACTCCTGAATATGGGCCAGACATCTCTGTAGACCTCCTGGGCTTTTTTGGAAGGCAAATCCAGAAAGAACAGCTTTCTAAAAAAAGGTCCTCTTCCCCAAAGGTTTTCCTACTACTATGCTGCCTTCTGAAGATGATATTATTCCACCTTACAAGCAGTTTTAGATAGTTTTAATTGCTATATGTATTCTTTTTTTCCCCTTTCAGATATCATTTTTAACTGAACAAAAATATGATTTCAAGAATCACAGTGACTTAGCCCTACCCTTAGCACAGCAAAGCAACCATCTTAAACTCAGAATAGAATAGAATGCAGTGATTAACAACTATAGCAAGATTGGTTGTAAAATGGAGCAAAACACACTTAAAAACTGTCTTGCTTAGCAATGGACATTTTGGGCTCAATTGTGGTCATAAGTCAAGGACTACCTGTATAACAGGATATCAAGGGCATTTCTAAATAGCACTGTTTCCATTCTGCATTCCCACCAAATTGCTTTGAATCCGGCTGTGCAAATTGCCTTCATAAATTCAGACTTTGGAATGCATGAGCCAATCAGGGTCCTGCCCCAATTTACTATGGGTCCTAGAACTCCCTACATCATTTCTATTGCACTAAAAACCATATTGTTATGGTGAGAAAATAGCACACCGTTCCCCAACCATTTGTCTCTATGGGTGCACATTGGTACAGATATATCTGTTGGGAAGGGAAATAATGCTTTCTGTTAGGCAGCATGAACATGAAGTTTATCTATGGGATAGAGAAAGACCAGCCTGGAGCAACAAAATCTCTTCGTCATTCCACACAAAAGAGAAAGAAAAAAAAATGCCAGTATAGACTCACATTCCCATTCAATGCTTCCAGGACATGTTTATGCTATGATTGGATAGACATTGGGAAAGTATGATTAAATTATCTGGATTCATCTTTTGGAGTGCTGCTGTTTGAACACAGATATGAAACAGTTCACATTAAAGTTTGCTAAATAATAAACTTATTGCTTAGACTTACATAAAGAAATATTGTCAATCAAGAATATGATGCTAACTCGTTATTTTTTTCCTTTGGGTTTAGGCGGGAAGGAATCAAAGTACGGAATGAATGGATATATGGGAAATGGCTATAGAAGTAAGATTTAAGAAGATAAAATTCATATATCTCCTGTTATGTTGATTTTTTGTTCACCCTCATACCCACCATCACCCATGCATTCTGTCCTCATTTCCAGGCATATAGGTAAAATTAAAAGTTCCGCACAATCATCAATCATTAAAACTTTGCTAGGTTCCCAAGTCATAATGTGGTTTGTTTGTTTATCTTGTGGGTGAACCCAGTTGTTGTGATTTGCAAAACATGTGTGAAGCTAGCTTGTGATCAACAAATCATGGTTGAAACAAACCATAACCGGTATATTATGTTAAACCAGTTACTGTCTTTCTTGAAAGGCTCGGGGATTTCAGCTTAGGTGAGAAGTATTAGGGATTGCTAATAGAAATCAGTTATAAATTTCAGCATCATTTGAAGAAAATAATGACAAATATATTATTGCTTGTTTAAAACAATACTATATTTGTGCTTTTGACTATTTTGGTTTGTTTAAAAAAAACTGTACTGGGTTATGGGAATATATGCAAGGAAGGTGAATAATTTTGAATGTTGGGAAAGCGGCTTCCTAGCTAATAATGTGGGGAATAGGACAGACATTTCCAAAATCATCTGATGCTGTCCCGCAATCAGTCTCTGTAAAAAAATATTTTCCAATGCTGGAAAATAAAATAATGGCTGCCTTTGTCTTCACTTTTTCCTAGGTCGCTGCTCTTCTGGAAAATGCTGAAAGACAATACTTCTCTGCAGAACTTCCTACAGCAAGATCTGACATCTAGGCAATCTCTGGTGCTAAGTTTAAAGACCAACAACTGCATTCCCAATATAAATGGCTGTGTCTTTTTCCTTCTGTATGTTTTATTTTGTCATTAGAAACGTTTCATTTTTTTTTTTAAAAAAAAGAGTGAAAAACATTGCATGTTAGTTTTTAAAGCTTTGGTGAACAATATTTTCCGAGGACTAATAGTATGTTTGCGACCATATTACACAAAGTTTGAGAAGCTAGAAACTGCTCCCCACCCCCCAAGACATACCCTGTGAATTCCAGATTAGGAAGCAGTCTAGAGATGTTTTTCATCTAATTATGTGTCTGGATTCCCAGACACCAATCAATGTCTTTTTACATAAGAATAAATCCACCATTCTCAATGTCTTGCATACTTGTGGTGTCCTTGTTCACAAAAACAAACTTTGTATATTTGTGTATGATATTTTTCAAAAATCCCATTGAATATCTTCCTTTGCTGCGGTTTCTATAAACTAAGTATATTATGCAGCATTTTGATCCTTTTCTCATGCTAAAATTGATACTATGGAATTTAGAAATTGATTTAAAATATGTTGAAAATATGAATGAATGTTGGCATCTTCAGATCAATTATTGGATGATAAATCATTATTTCTTACACTAAGGATAAATATTATTTGCTTACATTAAAGGATAAATATTTATATATTTATATCTATTGCCATCATAATTTGAACTATTAGCATTTTCAGCTTCAGAGTTACTTAAATGATTAGAAAAGATGATTAAATCTTATGAGATCAATAAGCCCATAATTACTTTATACATACTGTTTATTAATTAATCATTTTGATATGCACATTTTAAAAAGGAATTGGAGACCCCTATTTTATCTAGTAGAAAAATAGGGACCACCTTTGGTGGGAAGGTAACAGCGTTCCATGTGCCTTTGGCGTTGAGTTATGCAGGCTGCATGACCATGGAGACGTCTTCGGACAACGCTGGTTCTTCAGCTTTGAAATGGAGATGAGCACCGCCCCCTAGAGTCAGGAACGACTAGCATATATGTGCGAGGGGAATCTTTACCTTTTTATTTTATCTAAACAATAGGAAATTGTCTTAACCTTTGTATCAAAAATGTCAATACGGTCAATCTAATTTACAAAATATTTACAGAAACATTTTATACTTATTTACCCCACTGCATTTCTAGAGAAAATGAATAGATAATAAGTAATTTCATCATGGTAGAGATGAAATGCTTCATTAAAACAGGTTTTTCCAATGTTCTAAAATTTTTATAGCCTAGGAATAAGTCATTATACATGAATTTGTGTCTGAGACAGAATTTAATACCTTCATACAATTATATTCTTTTGATCAATATACCTATTATATGGCAATAGATGACTGGACAACATAGCCTTTCTTATTGCTGAGACATCATTCAACATTGGAAAGATACATTTAAATATACATTTATACACACACACATACACACACACACACTTATATTGTTATATATCAACTCAGTTTACTACTAGGCAGTCACCACACACACAAAAAACATTTTGCAGACAATGGACAATTAACATAACAACTAAGATAATTCTGCAAAAGAACAAAAATACAATTTGATTGTATTTTTGTAATATGGGTAGTATAATAAATATTTCCAGCTATGCTAGTCCACTAGGTCTAAGTTGCAAACTTTTAATATTTTTCAAAAGTTTTAAAGCAGTGGTCCCCAACCCCCGGTCCGCGGACCGGTGCCGGGCCGTGGAGTACCTGGCACCGGGCCGCGCAGCGGCCGGGGGACATGAACGCTGCAGCGCAAAGGCTCCTGGGCCGTGCGCAAAAGCTCCTGGGCCGTGCGCAATGGGCCGTGCGCAAAAGCTCCTGGACCGTGCCCCCACCCCTGCGCGCGCTCAGCGGGCTGCGGCGATAAAAAGGTTGGGGACCACTGTTTTAAAGGACTTTTTGCACAGTGCTTTATGATATCAAACATCGGTTGAGTAAGTTGGAGGATATTGTAAAATACTTTGATTGTTCTAAAATATCATTTCAGATTTTCTTTCTGAATCATTGATATAAGACAGAATCTTACTAGTTTAACTTCCAAAATAAATATTCAGATCATAGTACAAAATCAAGCGATTTCTGAAAAACAAAAAATAGATGACAAAAAAGCATATCTTAATTGCCTAATCTGGGACAAATGGTGTTTACATTATATCATACGGTGGTATTATTATTATTATTATTATTATTATTATTATTATTATTATCATTATCATTATTATTATATTTATTTATAACTCAAAGGGCCTTATATAATGTTCCTGCCTAGTTTCCAAGCAAAAAACCTGTGAAGTGGATTGGTATGAGACAGAGAGTGACTAACCCAAAATCACCCAGCTAGATTTCAGGCTGAAGAGAGAATTTGAGCTCACTATTTCTAATCCAGCACCTTAACTAATACACTGAAGTAGCTCTTTCAAACTTCACATAATTTGTAAACTATGTTAAAATTTAGTGTTTATATCCTATACTCTAAAATTTTTTATCAGATGCTTTTTTTCCCTTCCGTTCAACCGTTCTCAAAGATTACTTGGACAAATCTCTTTAATTTTCTTGGCAAGGTTTTTCAGAAATGGTTTGCCATGGCCTCCTTCCTATGGCTGAGGACAAAAATAACTGGCCCAAATCAACCAGCTGGCTATGTGCTTAAGACATCTCCAGGTTTCTACCCTAATGCCATAACCACTATATCAAACTGGCCCTCAAGCTGGCATCTCCTGGTACCACAATGTCAATAAATTGTACATTTTAGTTTTCGACAACTGTAATATCTGGCATGTTGGGAACCATCAAGAAAGAAACGGAAGGTTTAATAATCGCTGCTCAAGAACAAACACTATAAACTAATGCCATGAAAGCAAAGATACAAAAATCCATATTACAAAAATAATTTTAATTAGCAATTTTATGATGTTTGTGTGTCTATATTTTTCTTGACTGTACACCGCCTTGAGTACTACGGGAGAAAGGCGGTATAGAAATATAATAAATAAATAAATAATAAAATAAATACCTAGGACGCTGGCAGCAACCAGTATCAACTATTAGCACCAGTCAATGGTATTTGTGATGCATTTTTGAATGTTCAGTTGACTGAGTTTCATGTTTAATGAATAAAGTAAATAAAATAATAATAATAATAATAATAATAATAATAATAATAATAATAATAATAATAACCGTCTTTTAAGAAAATGGGGGAGACAAACGAAACAAGGGACAGGCGAATCTGAGGACCACAGCAGGTGCCATTATAAGAGGGGATTCGGTTGCCAAACGCGCGGACAAACGAGTCTCTGGTGGGTTTTTTTTGTTTGTTTGTTTGTTTTCGTGTTTTTTGGAGCGCATGCGTCTGTGCATGCGCGTATGCGTCGCGATTATGACGTAGACGGAAATGGGCGAGGCCGTTTGGAATTTTTAGCGCGAGCGCGGAGCGTTGGGTTTCCTTCTCGGAAGCTTGGCGCGCTCCTCAGAGGAGGAGGAAGAGGAGGTGGTGGGGGCTGAGGAGAAAAAAAACAACAACAACCCGGGATTGCTGAGTCTGGGAACTCACGGAGAATCCGAAATTTTCTTCTTTCGCGATTCCGAGGGGATTGGGACGGAGGAAGAGTTTAAGAGAGGTAGGAGAATCCCCCGAAGTTTTTCCGAGAGGAAAGGGAGGTGGTTGGTGGAACCACCTCCCTTTCCTGTTGAGGAAAGGGTGCAAACACCCCGCCAGATGCTCTTTGAAGAAGGTATTGTCGGTCGCTGTGGTTGTGAAGGGCAGCGGAGCAGGTTGGCGAAGGGTGGTGCTGTGATTAAATTAGGACGACCCTGCTGCCTCAAATTTTAGGCTTCTTTGCTAGCATTTTAAAGGCGACATTAATACATTTGGGGTGTGTGTGTACATAGAGAGAGAGAGAATTTCATTTATCTAATGTGTGCCACTGTGTTCACAGAAAAAAGTGACAATAATGGTTACCTTATCTTATTTAACATGACAGTCTGGACCTCTTCAGTGTGTAAGAAAGCATGCTTTTTCTTTTAGCCAAGGTAATTTCTTTTGATATGGGAGAACTTGCCTTTTCAGCAACCTCAAATAGAAAGGATATTCTCAAAGTCCTTGAATACACTTGCAACTTTCAAAGAAAGATATTAATGTAGCTGGGAAAAAGTAACCCAACCCATAAATTTGTCACTTGTGAAATGTTATCTAGAATCAATGTTTTCCATCGTTCAAACTTCCCATGCAATCAATGTATTTTACTGACTGATAATTTACTTATTGACTTATCACATATATTGAATGTATGTATTATTCATTTCTGTACTTTATAAAAAGACTTGCTGCCATCCCCCCTCCTCCCCCTCCCCCCAGAAACGTGTTTTCTGTCCAAAATTCAGGATATTGGTCTTTAGCTCCATTTAGCTCCATGCATACTTGTTTTTGTGAGTTTTGAGGCAACACCCAGCTTCAAATCTCCCCTTGGCCAAGGAAACCCATAAATGGCTTTGGGTCAATAATTGCCTCATTCCAACCTTTCTCTCAGGGTTGTTGTGAGGTAAAAATTGGTGCTAGTAGTAGTGGTGTACCCTTGAACTCCTAGAGGAAAAAAAAAGGACAAAATAAATGAGACTGCAGCTTGTTCACCCCTACCTATGTAAATAATGCCACTCTAAGAAGATGTGTATTCAGTTCCCTTTGTCTCAAGTACAGCTACTATCAGGTTGGCTCCAGATGACAGGAACTTTTTTTTTTTTAATTTGATTTATATGCCGCCCTTCTCCGAAGACTCAGGGCGGCTTACAATGCGTTAAGCAATAGCCTTCATACTTTTGTATATTTATACAAAGTCAGCTTATTGCCCCCACAAACTGGGTCCTCAATTACCTACCTTAGAAAGGATGGAAGGCTGAGTCAACCTTGAGCCTTAGAGAGATTCGAACCAGCAGTAATTGCAGGCAGCTGTGTTAATAACAGGGTGCTTAGACCACTGTGCTATCAAGGCTCTTCAAAAACTTACTCCAGCTTTAGGAATTCAATTTATAACGTAAGTTGTATTATCTCTGTTTTCCCTTGTGTGTTAGACCTTTTCAATTTGGTGTCATTCAGACCGCTGGATGTCACCTTTCACTATTCCCAGTTAATTGCCAAATGGCTAGGATGAAGTGATGTTTGTCCAATACTTCAACAAAAGGAGGTCAGACTGTTGAAAGTTACTATTGGGATATTGTACCTAGCAGAATTTCTTTCTTATGTTTTGCAGATGGCAGCATTTGCTTGACTTTGTGAAGGCTTAGAAGCTGATCTGCAGTTGTTCTAGTATTTGTATGGGAAGCTACTGGATAGTACTAGAGTTGTTGGTTAAATTGGAAAATCATTCTTGAAAGAGGCAATGGCCAACTACTTTTGAACTATTACTAAAAATACTGCATGGATTCATGTTCTGTAGTCATCAAGAGTTAAGCTCAATTGAAGGGTAACTTTGCTTTTGTGTAATGCCACAAATTGTACATGTAATTATCTTCCCAAAGAGATTTATAATCTAGATGTAGAATAATAGGAATATTAGAGGAAGAGAAGGCAAATTAAGAATGGCTAGTGGAAAATAGACATATTTCAGTTTTGCTTATTTATCTTTAATCACATTAGAGGTTAGAATTAAAGGAGATTAAGATTTCATGGAACATAGCTTTGAGAAGGGACTTGCAGAAAAAGGTGACTTAATAAAGATTCACATAATACAATGTGTCATGGATTAGCCAATCGTATTTTAATCAAGCCAATGCTTTCGTTTTGATAGTGTTGTGCAAACCCACAACATAATTTGAATTTGTTAAGTAAATCAAAATTAACCATGGGACAGTGTGAATATAGCAAGAGGCATTGGGAAGAATTAATTCTTTAGTATATTAGCATTAACGCTGATGGGTAGAATTATCTGAGAAAGCAGAAAAGTTTCAAAAGTTTAGGACTAATGTATTAGGATTGGAGAAACAAATGTTCCTTTTTCATTTGATGTGTTATCAATGAAAAAGTGGATTTTTTTTCTCTGGGAGTGTTGGATAAAATTGGGTTTTTTTCAAGGGGAATAAATAATTTATTGAGTGAATGATTTCCTCATTCTTTATTTAACTCTCATAAATTAGAATACACAGTTCTTGTATATTGGAATTCAGTTTTATATGCATTAGAATTTTGTAAAATAATTCAAACTTTAAAAAGTAACCCATGGTCATAGAGTAAGTTGTGGTTCTGGAAAAATCTATAGGCCACACCCCATAAGTGAATTAGTTATGTGGGCTAGAGTGGCAGTCTCCAACCTTTCCGGTTCGGCGAACTGGTGATGGCAACAGTGAGGGAGAGGGGATGGTTTCACACACGCACATCCTACTTTCACAAATACACCTTCACATACGCACATTCACCCACCACTTCCACAACCCAGTTCCAAAAGGGCTGAAGACCATGTCTTGGGGACCCCTGGGCTAGAGTACAAAGAAAGCCATAGAACTAACTTTAGTATAGGTAGAATCCAATGACCATTGCATTTTTGTTACCCAATAAACTTACACCCTTTAATATTGTAATGGTATGTAGGAAAGATCCTGGAAACTTGGGCAAAGAGATGCTGCCTATAGAATGATTGAATAACTCACAGCTGGATAGCGGACAGAGCAAGAGGCTCTGAAGAGAACCCTCCCTAGCTTCTTGGGCTGTAAAGACAGTGGGTGGTTTATACTTTCAGACTTGCAAGATTTTGTTAATACAATATAATACCTTGCAATAAAGTAGAATTGGTTTACTGTATCTGGTCATGTTTCCTGCCTGGTCTACCTGGAAAAATGGACAAATATTTTTGGGAGATTTCCATCACAGTGTCTTGGCATACGTTGGCAGGACAGGAAGTCCAAGGATCAGGAGAGGAACTTTGGAGACAGGTATTGCTGCACTAAATGTGCAATTTTCTTAAGATTCTTCTCAGTGCTGAGACCCTCCTGTCTACATCTGATAAGAAATAGTCAGGAAAGTTGGCTTGGCAGATAATCATAGTACATGTTACAATAGACAAATACAGGTATTTCTTTAATCTTTTAAAATTTATCTACAGTATATACAAATTCACTTTCATGAATCAATTATTTGGACATGGATAAAATCTTCCATCTGTCAACGGGACAGAAAAGTATATCAAAGAAAGACTTCTCATTTTAGCAGCCCAAGAAGCTGTTTAGGAAATGCAATAATGACAGGAAGGTAACTAAGAAGAAAGTTAAATATGAAGAGGGAGCCGAGAGTGAAATTAAATTATACCCCCAATTTAAAGTTGGTTTACATAAACTCTGATTTTGGATATTTACCCCAAAATGTTTCAGGTATTTGTGCTGTCTTTTCCTCTCAGTATGAGGTTGAAGGAACAACAGTAGAACAGCATCAGAAATGGCAGAGCAAATGAAGAATTGCTGGAAGAGGAGAAATTTAGAACATGGTGATTGGTGAGGGAGAGGCTAGCGAAAAGGTTTAGTGATGAAGTAACTTGAAATGGTCTCTGAATAAATAGAACTTAAGAGAGGGCTACTTATATTATGGACTATTCTTTAGGTTGTAGTTTTTTTCAGTTTAAAAAAAAGAGAAGAAGGAATATACTATAGTGAGGAAAATCTCTAGCCAGACCCATTGTGTCTACGTGAACTAATAACAGGCTGAAGTACAAGCAACAGGATTAGTACAGAATATTTTAAAGGGAGAATTTAATTCCAACCCTCTACTTCAGATTTGTAGTTCTGTTACAAAAGTATTCCTATTAACTCAACTGCTTCTTTTAAATACCTCTTTTAATGCCTTGTAAATTATTATTTTACTCCAGGTGAGTCCGGTGATCACTTTATTATCCAAAAATGCTTGTTGAACCATTTTTATAATATTTTATAAAATATTTTGGTCAGACCTGCTAGAATATTTTGGTGAGATTTACTCCATTGTATGTAGAACAGAACCAGCTTCATAACCACATTTGAAGCCTTACTCTTAGTCTGATGCCCTGACCATTATAGAAATGTAGTTTGTATCTTTAAAATAAAATATTATACACAGTTACCGTTTCCATGTTGGATAAGAGAGCATATAACATACTCTGTAACATTTATCCTTAAGTAAAAGTAAAGTTTAAAAAGTCCCTGCGGATTTTACTCTACTAGACATTGCCAACTATGGGGGGGGGGGCTCATCTGTTTCCAGACCATTGAACCAACTCTCCGCTCCTTCTCCCGGGCGACTCACAGGTAGCAAGAAAACACAACGGGACACATGCAGGTTTTTCAGTGAAGTTGGTTTAATGCTTAGCAGGAGCTCCGGAACAACGCTGAGCACTATAGTAGTTTAAAGTTAGCACTACGAACAGCAGCTACATAGCGCCCTTTATGCATTTGCTCCACCCCTTCCTAATTTACTGGTTGGAGAGCATTCAGCTGTGACAGGCCATCACGCATGCCTCTCTTCCAGGCGCCTCGTTCCTGGGAGCGCCCCTGTCACCACCCCTCCTCCGCCGTTCCCTAGCCCGCCGCCCCAGCCGCAAAACCCCGGTGCCACCACCACCACTTGTGAGTTTCTGTGTTCAGCATCTGGATGCAGTCCTGTGTCCTTGTTTGCTTAGCTTGCTGGGCACAGTCTTGCAGTATCAGGTACGTGTGCCCGTTCTCTTTCTCCTCCTCCCCATCCCATTATTGTCGAATGGAGGCTTGGGCTCGACACCAACACTGTCCAAAGACATTTCCACAGTCATGTGGCCAATGTGACATCACGGAGCACTGTTACCTTCCCACCAGAGTGGTACCTATTTATTTCACATTTGCATGCTTTCAAACTGCTAGTTGTCAAGAGCTGGAGCAAGGATGAGCTCACCTCGTCACTTGGCACTCAGGTCTCGAATCTGGGCTGTTAGCTTTCCAGCCAATAAGTCCAGTGTCTCAACTACTGATTCACCATGCTGCCCATTACCCTTAAATAATCCCCACTATTTTCAGTACAATTTATCGCCAAAAAGCATATATTATTACTTCTTCTTTTTTTAAATACCTTATGATGGATTATGTAAGCAAGAAACTGGTGGAATAAATCAATACTTTGAAACTTTTATATTCTCCAACTTGTGTTCCATTTATTGCTTGTTCAATTTATACTTCTGCTGACAATTGTTCTTTGAGTGCTTCTAGAAACTAACAAATCATATTTGTCAGTTTCATTTGAATGTCACGTGTCTTATCAGGAATCACTAAGGAACTTCATGACTGCTATTGAGGGATTCTGGACACCTGCAGCAGATAGATGAAATCCATGTTACCTGAAATACTCTTCAAATGGCCAGGATTTGGAGATAGCAGACCACAGGGCATTGATTTTGTCAGATGGAAATCTAGTGCTAATTGAAAAGCATGATTGTTACTAAAGCTTTTAGTTGATAAGGGTTTTTTAAAGGACAAAATAAAGAGAATCTTACTGCAAAAAGAACTGAAAACATCAGAATTATTAATATCAAATTAAAGATTGTTTCCAGAATTGTAAGCTAGAAATAAAGAAGCATTTGTTTGGGCCATAATAGCAGTAGAAGTCTCTCAGACTGTAATGTTTCTAAATATGCTACTACTTACTTTATTCCTTCTATTTAGCCATTTACGTGCATCTAAGGAAGAAATAAACAAAGCAGACAGATGCATAGCTAATAGGCTTTATAGATTTGGCTATTTATATTAGCTCTATGAATTTCATAGTTTTGTTAAATATATTTACTTACATTCATACAAGTTAAGGTGAAAAATGTAAGGATGCTTATTACATTTTATTGGTTTTTTTGTTTTATTTTTACTTATGGTCACTGGCTGTAACAGTGTATCCCTCTAATATGCTATTACGTTGTATGAAAAAATGGTTTAAACTCAATATATGTCATGATCTATATTATTTCAGTTAGGTTAAATATGAGGAATAGTTTGTGACCATGCTTATATTCAGTTTTTATGACTGATGAACTTGAAGGAAAACTTGATGCTTTCTGGGTTAGGCTATAAAGGAAGGTATTGCATAATCTTACTGATTGCACTTCCTACTTTCAGACATGCCGGTAGCTCTTGACTGTTCAGGTGCTGAGTCTCAATTGAGCCATATTCCTCTGCCAGTGCCCGCCTTCTTCAAGGAAGCAGAATGCAGTTTTTCCATCAAAAAGACCCGCCAGCCACTCAGCTATACCCTTCCTCCACGGCCACGCCACAAGAATACATTAACTGTGAGCCGAATTTTCTCTGACCGCCGTGTGCAGCCTTGGACCAAGCTCCAGCCACGTAGTGTTTCCTTCCATGGCTTGCACAAGCAGGAATCGCCTCTACATAGTAATCTGTATGATGCCTCTAAAAGAGAGTTGTTTTTCAGGCAATGTTTTCAGAAACTCAGTTGTTTGGGACGGGGATCTTTTGGGGAAGTATATAAGGTAAGGGGTCATCAAGTAATAATTAGTGGTTGGTAAGATTATAGAAATTAATGGAGACTATATTAATGGATTGTAGTTGGGACAGCTAAATGGAAATTCCACATTCTGCAGGCCTATGTGGTGACTTGAAAAAAAGTATTGGGATCATATTCCACTTGCAAACCTCTTTGAAGCATGTGGCAGACAACCCGAAGAAACAAATTGAAGTTTTGTTTAGGCAGCAGATAATTTCTTATATTTAAGTGTAACTTGTTTGAAAATACCTGTTGGAGAAATTTTTGCATTTCAGATGACAGTATTTTAAATATTTGTGATTTAATTTTGGCTGCCTTAGTAATTACAATAAATGTAACATTTATTTGCAGTCTAATTACACGATATAAACACTACTCCCTGACAGAGAAACTTAATATTCTTGGCATAAAATGGTACCACTCATTTGGATGTTGTGGTTATCAAGTAGGATTCCTAATTTAAAGCATTTATGTGGACTGGCCAGGTTCCTCACTCTTCTCTCTTATAGGTACGGTCTCGTGAAGATGGTCAGTTGTATGCAGTAAAGCGTTCTGTGGAGCCTTTCCGGGGTGAGGGTGACAGGCAGCGCAAATTGGCTGAAGTGCGCAAGCATGAGCATGTGGGGCACCATCCCAATTGTGTGAGCTTTGTACAGGCTTGGGAGGAGCGTGGTCAACTCTACATCCAGACAGAGTTATGCCCGGGCACCCTGTTGCAGTACTGTGAGGAACATGGCCCTCTGTCCGAATGGCAAGTTCAGACCTTTCTATGGGATATGCTTCAAGGACTGTGCCATTTACATGGTCGTAACCTTCTACACATGGATATCAAGCCAGCTAACATCTTTCTATCATCTACCAATGTCTGCAAGTTGGGTGACTTTGGGCTAATGCTGGAGTTGGACTCTGGGGATCTGAAAGATGCTCAAGAAGGGGATCCACGCTACATGGCCCCGGAACTGCTCCGTGGAGAATATACCAAGGCTGCTGATGTCTTCAGGTGCGGGATGTGATGAGAAGATGGGAACTAGATTTTCTGGTGCTAGGAATGGCTACTCTTGCATAGTGTTTGCGCCTTTGCCTCAAATGTTGCTAACCATGGGTATTAAAAATCAGTGATATGGTTTAATAGTGCTGCCTGCTTCAGTTGCTTGATCTATGTCTTTCTGTCTTCCCAGTCTTGGCATAACTATTCTGGAAATTGCCTGTAATATGGAGCTCCCCAATGGAGGTCAAGGCTGGCAGCAACTTCGACAGGGTTATTTGCCCCCTGAATTCACTGCAGGTGAGCAGCAGCAAAGGGGACATCTGTGTGTGTAATAGCTACAGTGCAAGAATTCTGCTGACAATCTTCTTAAGAACCTGGCAAACTGAAAAACAGAATGATCAAGTGAAGAAGCTGCTAAAATAAAAAAAAAATCAGTATGCCACACAATTAAAGATAGGTGACTGAATCTTCCTATCCACTTCAGGTCTCTCGGTTGAGCTGCAAAAACTTCTAGTTGCCATGTTGGAACCCAATCATCTTCTCCGGCCCTCAGTGGAGATGTTGCTTAATTCTAGTCTCATGCAGAAAACAGAGAGGTGGCGAAAACTCGTGTTGTTAGCGCACTCTGGGATCCAGCAGGGTATCTCTATGTACAAGGTAAGCATGAATTTAGCCAGATATTATCTTGGTCCAAATTCTACAGCAATCTTTAACCACATACTCTTTGGTGACTTCTCATTTCTATGTATGTTTGCTTCAAAATTGGTTAAACATCCTTTTTAAAATAAATACTCCATAGGGCTGCCAGAACACTCTTCCTTATAACTATGGTCATGACTTCTACACTTGTTACTTTTGCCTGTGATTGAATGAAACTGATCTGGTTCTATTTCTCCTTGAATTCTTGGATTTCTTTGGTACTTATTAGTACAAAACTCACTGATTTATATCAAATGTTTATTATCATTTAATGCTAGAATCCTTTCTAGATTCAATTTTACTGTCAAATTTAGGTGATGCTGTATTTCATGGTTGTTTTTTGCACAGTGTGCCTGCTGATCTCTTTCTCAGAGTTTGATCTTTTCCTTTTGCTCATTCCAGACTCTCCTCAGGTTCATGCAATGGCTTTGGGGAGCTCTGTGCGGTCCAGCTCAGTGGTTGCTCTTTTGGCATAAGACTGTTCCAGTCACACCACCACATTCACCCTTTCTTCTTCCCCTGGAAAACAGCAATCTCTCTAGTGACTGGGGTGAAGAAGAAGAGGGTGATAAAGAGAGCGTTGGCGAGGATGTACTTGAGCTTTCAGAGATAAGTAAACGACATAATCACACTTGCCCTGTGGAGCTGCAGTCCTTGGATAGGTAAGTTAGAGATAGGCATATACCCTTTTCTACCTATCTCAAAATGTGGCAGAAGTAGAAAGTGAACATGAACAAGTGGCCTGCATCAGAATATATTAAAAATAGTGGTAGACAAATCCTAGTGTTTAAGGTCAGTGTAGTGCTTGCCTAATTTGAAAAACAAATAAGCTCAAATCTCAAAATCCATTGGAAAAAATCCTTTTTGATACTGGAATTGATGAATTAGTAACATTTACTCATCCTTTTTTAGAACTTAATTCCCTAACACTTCAACTGCATGCCTTAACCTTATCTCTGGTTTTAGCAGTCTCTGAAACCCAAAATAGAGGACAGTGATTAGGCTTGTTAAAAGCACTTGAAGAAGCATTTTGCAAAGAGCCCTACCCAATTTACTGCTTGGAGCATAAATGACAATCAAGGAAGAGCTTCAAACTGATAGTACCAAGTCTTTGAGAGAGAAACTGCCTCACTAGTCCAAGCAGTAATATCGTCCAATGCTTTTTATAGTAGTCATAATGATTCTCCAAAACACCAACCCAAGCCTGAAGACATTAGTAAACTTATCTAATTCTGTTTTTCATATGACAATGTATTGCTCTTCTGATATTTTCTCTAATTATGAAGAAATGTTTTTAGCTTATGAAATGCTGTCATCAATTATTGTTTAAGTATTTTAAAAAAATAATTGAAACTACTCGTTCAGCTTTTCAATAAAATTTCATCTTTTTTAATTGCTAAGGATAGCCAACTGCCCTATCAAAAAATAATTATCCCCTGATATTTCAAATTATTTCTGGCTAAGAATTCACTTTTGGGGGGGGAAATGGTTTGCTTTTTTCTTGAAGGACAGAACAGGCCTGTTATACACCTACAGCTTGTATGATGAATGAAAGGGAGAAAAGGAGCAAAGGACTAACACAGCCTACTTGTTCAAAGATGTTATGCATAATTTATTATATGTTGGTCTGAATTCTCCACCCATTCTCCAACATATCTTTGTCAGAGTTCTGCTAAGCCTGGTGGTAAAACCTCCTATTTACTTTTCTTCCAGACCACCTGGTTCCCCTCTGCTTACCATATGCCCATGTGCAGGAAGCACCTCCACGCCACGGCATCCCTCACCCCAACAGACTGGTTGCAGGAAAAACAGGTGAGATGTTATTGAAGCAATGACTATAAAGAAATATTTGTTTTCATGTGTGTATAACCAGATATAATCTGGTTTGTTTTGATTTACATGATTGTGCAAATGTAATATTCAGTAAAGTCCTATTACTTAAACCTAGGCTTATTGTGTCTAAAACCAGTCAGTAACTAAACTTCTGGAGACTTTTGCAGTCACCTGCAAACTGAAGTTACAAAATAATATTCAGAATGCTTGATGACTTAGCCAGGCAACAACTGTAGTACTGGCCTAATACTTTAGTTGCATGTTTTCAGCTCTTCAGTAAAAGATAAAAGTATTTTGGTATTTTGAACCTTTTTTTAAAAAAAATTGATTTATATGCCGCCCTTCTCTGGAGACTCAGGGCGGCTTACAATGTGCTCAGCAATAAGCAACCTTAAGACTTTCCCAAGACTCTTATACTGTGGAGAGGCCAAATGCTTTAGTTTCTTTCCTGCCAAGTTGTGACATTTTCCATAATTTCTTCCTTTTTAACTTTTTTTTTTATCATTCACAGGTCTTTTACATTCCAGGGAAGTCCCAACCTTAGTTGCATTAGTTTGAAGTCCCCATGCAACAGCCCCACTTCATCAAACATGTTACCTGCAAATACATTACAGCACACACCAACATATGATGAAACAGAAGATGAATGGGAATCGGTTTTACCTCAGTGCTCCACTTTTGAGCCAAAAAATTTGCTAAGCTTATTTGAGGATTATCTGGAAACTAAACAAAAATGTCAGAGCTGATGGGGGAACTATATTTATTTGCTGGCTTGCTTAGCGCCCCCCCTTTTTTTTTGGAACTTTTTTTTTAAAAGCATACAAGCATATTTTTTAAAAAAAAATATGCTCAGGTACCAAGTTCAGACTAGCAAAGGAAAGGCAAATTTTTACAGATGCTTTGCTGTGTGTATATTTTATCTACTTGAATTATATATGACTGTTTTTCAATATAAGAATATTATTTTGCTGGCTATCAGAAAGCATTTTATAATCTGTCACCACTTAATGGAAAAGACATTCTACTTTCATACAAATTTGAGAATTGAATACCTTCTGTATGAATTTCTTTTTTAAGCTTTGTCCTTTTCTGTTTGTGTCTCAAAGATTTTTTCTTATTTGTGGAATTGGACTTAAATCTTTCATTCTGGGGATTTACAAATGTAGCTGTAAGTCGTGATATTAAAAACATTCAGAATTTCCAGTAACTGGTCTGTTTCCTTTTTAAAACTGTAAAAACTTTACTGACTGTAAAATAAAACTCCATTAAGAAAAAAAAAAGGCTTAAAGGAGATGTTATTTAAAGCCAAGTCTAATAGATGATGAGGGAAGCTATTTGAGTTTTTTGTTTAATGGAAGGAAATCTTGAAAATGCAAACCTTTAGAGAAGTGACTAAATCGTGCACATTATTATTAGCTGCCCATATTTATTTTGTCTCTCTTGGTTTCAGGATTTTCCAATCAGATTATATGAGATGCCCTATTCTTACTAGGTAGAGATAAAAGTGACTGGTGATTGATTAAAAATGTGCTTTTCTGGAAGTTTGTTCATTCTACTTTAATGAGCTTCACTTAGGATATAATTAGGATGCATGTATTCTCATTCTAGAATATCTAACTGGGGCCTTACTGATGAATGTATGTGCATCATTCAGTTAGTAAAAAAAATCTGTACAGTATCAACATGAAATTTGCCACCGGTTACCAATTCCTGTCCCACTTCTGCGGCATCTGTTCTGCCTCATAAAATGAGACTGCTTTGATTTTATGTAGGCAATATCTCACAACCAAAGCAGCTGGTTTTTCTGTTATAATTTCTCTTCTGCATATCTGCTGGTAGGAAAAATAGCAGCCAACCAAGGCACTACAGGAAGAAGTAGGAAGTGAGGAGGGACAATCTGATTGCAGGCAATGTTTCTCATCTATAGGCTGACTCTACATTGTATTATGTTGTAACCCAAATTGAAGTTAAAAAGTCACTGCAGAAGCTGACTTTTTTTCTTTGCTTCCTTTCTCTTAAATAGGCAATACATGTGAACTTCCAGATTGCCCTATGCTATTTAACCAGCAAAGGGGCAAAAAGTACACTGATGCCATCATTCTTTATTAGGACCTCGCGATGCACATGACCAAGATGGCGCCGCCTCCCTGAGCCCCGATACCGATGGGGGCGATTTCGGGCCATCTGAGGTCTTTGGGGGCTGGATGGATCGTCCTCCCCTGCCAACCCGGCTGTCTAAGCTTCCTGCCGGCCAGCTGAGAGCTTTTCCGCTCTCCGCAGTGCCATGGCTGGGACGGGGCTGGCATTTTTTCTATACCAGCATTTCTTCTGTGTCACGAGGGTGAGGAGGCCAACGGCGAGATTCGGGGCAGCAGCGGCGCCCGGATTGTGGCGGCCTGCTGTCTTTTCTCCTGTGGGCTGTGGTTGGGTGCTGCGGCGATGGCGGGGACCACGTCGGCTGCGGGGCGCTGGGGTCTCCTGGCACATTTGGAGCCTCCATGGCGAGATTGCAGCGCTCAGGGCAGCAGCAGAAGTGGCGGAGATGGAGGAGTCCTGCGCTGGCCATTGAGAAACATTTTGAAATCCAGTAGCAGCCTTGGCAGCCCTGGATAGATGCTGCTGGGATATCTTTCTATCTGTCTATAATTTACCATCACTGTACCTCCCGGACTGTCGCGGGATACTTGGTTTTACTGGAAGGGGCGGTTCCCAGAACCACCTGTGATCCATATAAAGACCAGTTGAAGTTTGGGGGGGGGGAATAAAAAAAAACGACCCTGAAAACTTGTAATGGTGAGCGGACGATTGTGGAATTGTAATCCCAGCCGCCTCATATCACACACACACACACGGTCTGGTCTTGAAGAGTCATCGATCACTGACCATCTGATTATCCCGCAGCAAATTACATCTTCCTTGTATTCCATTGCTAATCCATCTCATCTTCTCATAACATCACCACCAGCAGGATCCTATAGACCGGCCCTATACTCTGACAGAGAGTTAACAGCTAGGATACGGGTATTGCAGGAGTTGGTACATTGCTCTATTCACCAGAAAGATTGCAGCCTTTGTAAGAGGATGGCCTTGGACATTATTTCCTTGGTGTTCTTAAATAACATAAGACTCCTCCTACTGTTATGAAAGGACAATAGAGCTTATTCTACCATCATCTTGATCTACATCTTCCTTCTCTCCAGGACTTCAGAATTTATGTCATCTTCTTGGCCATTCTAAGATTACCTCCTGGTCACCGGATATACTCAGCGGCTGAGCTTCTTGCTCTGTGAGACTCCCCCCTCTCGTAGACCTGGCCCTCCACACTATCGAGGGCCTATCTTGATGACGGATTTTGGAATCCCGAGGTGGCATGTTGCAAAGAGGGGGTTGAGGGTCTTTTTATCTAATTTCCTATCCAAAATTTTAAAAATTTCTAAAAGGGGGGTAAGTGGGAGCGGGGTGGGTCATGACAGAGGGAGGGGTTAGATGATGATTTTTTTAAAGAGGAAGACAGATACAGCACAGAGTTATACCATAGGATGTACGGAGCTGGGAATGGAGGGGCTAAATACGTGTATGGAAAGGGGTTGCTCCATCAAGGTTGTGGTTGGGAGGGGCAGATATGGTGGGAGCAGGGGGCCACATCATATTAGGGAGATACGCACTCGCTGTCTTCAAGTGGTGGCACGCTCCGACCCCCAAGGCTCTTCTCATTCCCTGGGTTGCTCAGAATCTCAGGGCCTGAGCCTTAGGCTGATGTTATGCAATGTCAGGTCTACAACTAACAAAGCCCCCCTCATTTGTGAACTAATTCAGGAGGGGAAAGCAGACCTGGCGGGTATTACAGAGACCTGGTTGGGCCATGAAGGGGGGGTCCCCCTTGTAGAGATGTGCCCACCAGGTTTCCGCGCATTCCATCAGCCAAGGGCACAGGGTAGGGGTGGCAGTTATTACAAAGGAGAGTCTTGATCCTAGGGAGACCACTGTTCCTCAGACAGATGTGAGTCCCTCGTGAAATGGGGTCATGGGTTACAGATGGCCTGCTGATTACATACCTGGCTCCCTGACACGTAGCAGCAGCCCTGCCTGAGCTCCTCAACGTAATAGCCGGGGTGGCAGTTGAGACTCCTAGGCTTCTGGTCATGGGAGATTTCAACCTACCGTTCATCGGTGAAAAGTCTGAGGTAGCTCGGGAGTTCTTGGCTTCCATGACGGCCATGGACCTGACCCAGTTAGTTCATGGCCCTACTCACACAGAGGGACCCACTCTGGACTTGGTTTTTGTATCTGACCAGTGGTTGAATGGTCTAGATATAGGGGATATAGTCATCAAACCCTTGTCATGGTCAGACCATTCTCTCCTTAGGCTTGACTTTCTGTCCGCTACACCCCACTGCAGGGAGGCGGAACCGATTAAGTGGTTCCACCCCAGGTGCCTGATGGATCCCGATAGATTCCAGATGGAGCTCGGGCCATTTCCTGAGACTCTCGCTCACAACTCGATTGAAGACCTGGCAGCAACCTGGGATAGGATGGCCGCTGGTGCTTTGGATCGGGTTGTGCCTTTGCAGCCTCTGACCCAGCGTCGAAGTCACTGGCTCCTTGGTTTTCCGAGGAGCTGAGGGAAATGAAGCGCCGGAAAAGACGCCTGGAGAGTAGTTGGAGAGCCAGTCGTTCTGAATCTGACCGAACACTGGTGAGGTCCTATATTAAGACCTACTTAGTGGCGATAGCAGCGGCAAAATATAACTATTTTTCCGCTATTATTGCATCGGCAGATAATCGCCCAGCCGCCTTGTTTAGGGTGACTCGCTCCCTCCTCCACCTGGGAGCACAGAAAGACCCCTTACAAGGTCGAGCTGAGGATTTTGCACAATATCTGCACAATAAAATCGCTCAAATTCGGGAAGGCTTGGACTCTGACTGGGTAGGTTCAGACGCAGTGATGGAGGCGGATCTTGAGGATATTATTTGGGATGAGTTTGACCCTGTGACCCCTGAAGATGTGGACAGGTTACTGGGGAAGTTGAACGCGACATGTTTATTGGACCATGTCCCTCTTGGTTGGTACTGGCTTCCCAAGAGGTTACACGAGGTTGGTTCCAGAGGATTATAAACGCTTCTCTGAGTGAGGGTTTCTTGCCTTCCGCCTTGAAAGAGGTTGTGGTGAAGCCCCTCCTCAAGAAGCCCTCTCTGGACCCAGCTGTTCTAGCAAACTACCGTCCTGTCTCCAACCTTCGCTTTGTGGCTAAGGTTGTTGAGAGTGTGGTGGCACAGCAACTCTCGCAGTATTTGGATGAAACTGTCTATCTAGATCCGTTCCAATCCGGCTTCAGGCCTGGTTACAGCACTGAAACGGCATTGGTCGCATTGGTTGATGATCTCTGGAGAGCTCAAGATAGGGGCTGCTCCTCTATCCTGGTTCTATTAGATCTCTCAGCGGCTTTTGACACTATCGACCATGGTATCTTGCTGCACTGACTGGAAGGGCTGGGAGTGAGAGGCACCGTTCTATGGTGGTTCTCCTCCTCTCTCTCCGACCGATTGCAGTCTGTTCGCAGGAGGGCAGAGGTCGACTTCAAGACACCTTACTTGTGGGATGCCGCAGGGGTCGGTCCTTTCACCTTTTCTGTTCAACATTTATGTGAAGCCACTGGGTGAGATCATCCGTGGTTTTGGGGTGCAGTGCCATCTTTACGCTGATGATACTCAGCTGTACATCTCCACCCCAGACCACCCCAATGATGCCCTTGCAGTGATGTCCCAGTGCCTCGAGGCCGTGCGGATCTGGATGGGGAGAAGAAGGCTCCGACTCAACCCTTCCAAGACCGAGTGGCTGTGGCTGCCGGCATTCCGATATAGCCAGCTGATACCATCGTTGACTATTGGGGGTGAGACATTGGCCCCCACAGAGAGGCTCGCAACTTGGGTGTCCTCCTGGACACGCGGCTGTCTTTAAAAGAGCATATGACAGCCGTGGCCAGGAGAGCTTTCTATCAGGTTCGCCTGATTCGCCAGTTGCGACCCTTTCTGGATCGGGACTCCTTATGCACAGTCACTCATGCTCTTGTCACTTCTTGACTGGACTACTGTAATGCTTTCTACATGGGGCTCCCCTTGATGTGCACACGGAGGCTCCAACTGGTCCAGAATGCGGCCGCGCGGGTGATATTGGGAGCGACATGATGCTCACATGTAACACCTCTCCTACACGAGCTGCACTGGCTCCCAGTGGCCTTCCGAGTGCACTTCAAGGTGTTGGTTCTTACCTTTAAAGTGTTCCATGGCTTAGAACCTGGGTACCTACGAGACCACCTTCTGCAATCGATAACCTCCCACCAACCAGTACGCTCCCACAGAGTGGGCCTTCTCAGGATACCGTCACTAAAGCAATGTCGACTGGTGGTTCCCAGGGGGAGAGCCTTCTCTGTGGGGGCACCTACCCTTTGGAACAGGATACCCCCAGGAATATGAATGATCCCAGATCTTCGTACTTTCTGTCGTGCACTTAAGACCTTTCTGTTTCACCAAGCCGGGCTGGCATAAATTTTATCTAATTGTCTAAATTTTATTCTGAAGATCTTAACTTAACTGATGAGTCAAATTGGCTTAATAATTTTAATTTGCTTCTATTTCACATTTTTATATATATGTTATTTTGACTGTTCACCGCCCTGAATCCTTCGGGAGAAGGGTGGTATAAAAAATTAAATAAATAAATAAATAAATAAATAAATTATATGATTTCAGCCTGGCACTAACTTGGTAAAAATGATAAGATTAAATCATTGCTAGCTGAGCAGTCTAGCCTAGTCCTAGTATATAATTCTGACAAACCACCAGCATAGTGCTGCTGTATCCTTGTTTTTATGGATAACCAAGGTTCTGGTCAACCTTGCCTGGAAGCAGGCAAGGTTGACCAGAAAAGAAGGGACATGCCCAAATAGCAAGAAATAGGCAATAAGCACCTTGTAGTTTCCATCAGTGCTGACAACCTGATTTTAACCTCTAAAAATATAGATGACAAAGTATAATAGGTTTTATACTTTGTGGCTGCTAATGGGAAATCTCTGTTGTTTTTTTTACATAGACAAAATGAATGTGTCCATTTATCAGAATATTTAACAGGTGTAGTTTTCCAGTGCCAATCTTAAATTTCAGTAGCAAGATGTCCATGATACAAGATTTAAGGCAAAAATACCTTAAATACTAGTCATAACCTTTTCAGCCAATATGATTTTGTTTAACTGTGTTATGTTAGTCTATTTACCTGATGAAGAGATCTTAGAAATTCCAAAACTAGCATCTCATTTTCTAAAATTTAAGTCAATCATACAAAGTTCCTTCTACATTTTTTTTCTTTTAGCCAATATAACTGCTTCATAGCTGATTTAATTCTTATTCTCTTTAGCCTAGATCAGTGATGGCTAACCTTTTCCGGACCAAGTGTCGAAAGCACGCACATGTGTATGAATGCACACGCGTGCCCTAACCTGCAAAGTGCAATGCGAGCGCATGTGCACTATGCATCCACCCCGCCCCTCCTGCAGATGTTCACCAGCTCATGCACCTTGCACATGTGCGGCAGAGACCCAAAGACCAGCTGGGCCGGTGGGAGGCGCGCATGTGTGCATGTGCAGCAGAGCTGAGCTGGGGTGATGGCTCACGTGCCCAGAGAGGGCGCTGTGTGTCACTTCTGGTACACGTGTCATAAATTCGCCATCACAGGCCTAGATTGTAAGAGGAATGAGGTGTTAAATTTCTGACCAGGCATTGAATTCCAGAATCTGAATGTATGTAGATACTTTTAAAATATAAAGACATGTAATTCTAGTTGAAAACCAAAAGTAAAAATTTTAAAACATCAAGTGAATACAGGGTACAAAGTCTTACTCTTTTTCAGCTGAATATGATGAAACTTTTAGAATGTAGTGGTTTAACTGAAAATTAAATTTTCAATAAGCAGGTTATTAGCACTAAGCTGATCTATGTCTCGCTAAACATTTTTTGTAGTTAAATTTTTATAAAACAAGCAATTGTTTTATAAAAATATAGAGCTTACAGTACCAGTAGAATCTTCCAGAAGAAACATGTCCTTTACTTGTAAAAGATTCCAATTAGTTCCCACCAGCCTGGTGTTTTAACTAAACCACAATTCAAGTTCATAGATCTTACCCTTAGCAGCAATTCATTCAAATGTAGAGAGACAATAAAAGCTGTCAATGTGAAAGTATTTTAAGACCCCATTTCTACTGCTTCAGAATGAAATTTGATGAATACCCTAACAGACATATGAAGGAGCCATATGGCATTAGGGATAGCATAGCCACCATAAGCTGAAAAAATTCAAGAGATTTGAAGTAGCAGTTCATTTCAGCCCCATTTTAAACATTTTTTTTATCAAAAGCCCAAATCTGCCACTTGCCCAACTTTTTTTTCAGCCTTTATTTAAAAAGTTCTGGATCTTAAGTATTTAAAATTCCCTTCTCACCCTCCCTCCCATATGAAGTGCATTTTTTGGATGTGGTGCCTTGCTCTTTTATTTTAAAGATATGTGACGCTTCAAGTTCAGAAGCTGTGAACATCAGCAATGTCCATCTAACCTGAGATAACAAGAGACAAGACTTGGTTAGCAGCAGATTAAACCCACTTCCAAAATGTAGTTGTATGACACAAAATTCACATTCTAACACAGAAGGTTTAGGTCAATGTTTCCCTTTTCATAACACAGATCTACTTGCAATCTAGAACAAAGAAATTATTTAACCTTCACTCTATTCCTTCAAGGATTTGTTTGACTCACTTTTCAGCTTGTTAAGTTACATCAGACACTTTCATATTTTATCCTAGTTACGTTTTTGAAAGAGGATACATCCAAACTAACATATTGTATAGATTAATATTAGGGGTTTTTTTTCCTGATTCTTTTAAAAATCAAAATTGGTCTCCACATCTACATGGTTGTTTTTCAGTCTGGCTGGTTTTAACAAGGTGGATTTACAGGTGCTGCAGGAGGACAATTTTGATCTTTAAAGGAAGCAGAAATGATTTATTTTAGCTGATATGTTAGTCACAATATCATCCTCTTCCCTTTCCAAATTTCTTTCATTGGAGAAAGGAGTTTCCATTGCCATTTATATTCTTAGAAAGATACAAGTAGATTTTTTTTTCTTATTTGACCATAAATCAAACTAAAATCCAAGTGGGTTGGCTTACTATACATTGAAAACTAGTTTTTAGTAAAGGTCACATAAAATACTTTAACCATTTTCTTAAATATTCTGTGCCTCGCTGACTAAAACAATATGAAGTAACTTGTGCTGCATAGAAAATAGAGAATTCCCCCATTTCAAGTAGAACCTCTACACATAGCTTTTTAAAAGCCAAATTACAGGGATCTACATAAATGCAAAATATAAAGGGCTTCCAAATATTGAATGGGTTGCTTGATTTAGGTGTATTTTGAGGCTAAACCAAAAAAACTGATTTTAAGATCTGCCATAAAATACTAAAACAAATTCCACTTGAAAACCGATTTTACATTAAAAGTAGCATTATGCACAATTATTTGAGTGTTCAGATGTGGAAGATCATCAGGACCTGTAAGATCTCTCATACTTTACCCCTATTTAGACAATAATCTTACATGCATCAGGATCTAATTCAGCGGCTAAGGACTATGAGCTAAATTTAGGCACCTAAAAGAAATGCTAGCTCTCCCAGTTCCTAATTTTAAGACAAGAGAAGATTTCAAAGGGATTGTAAAATATTTGCTAGAATGCTAGAATGCTGTTTTGATCCTCAACTTGCCACTTCTGATTATGTTCTCAAAAAGTACCCCCCCCCCAAAATTCTGACCATGGAACAAAAGTTAAAATTTTAATTCTTCAGAGGAAGAATCAATCTCAGGATTCTATTTGTATCAAAAACAAATCAAATTAAAAAGCAAAATTGGTTCAGAATGGACCAATTCAAGAAGCTACTGAAAGAAGGGAACCAAAATCTAGAAACTGTAGTTAATGGACCAGTCAGGACAGTAACAAAGGGGAAAAGATAGCAGCGCTTGCCCATTATTGATTACTGCAATTGCAGCAGCCATATCAATGGAGTAGAAAGAGTTCTTCCAAATTCATACAAAACTATAAAGCTTTGAAAAGCATTGCTCTGGTCAAGGTAAAATTGGAATGTGGTAGCAGAAAAAAGAATTCCAATCTGACCATAAACATTGTATACTCTGCCAAAAGAGAGATAAGAAACTGAGGTATGCTGCAAAAGAGTCATGGCCCTAAATTTGATGACATTAGCCAGGAATTGAAATCAGGACTCTTCAACTTCAACCCAAATCCAGTTTCAAGGCTCCTGATTATCCTTCTGGCAAGTAAAGAAAAACTAAACTATGCAGCAGAGTTTAATATTCTGGTGTCTGACAAGCCCTTTTAAAAATCAGAAAGTATTGCATGGTGTCTGAAAGACACCTGGATAAAAAGTATTTAAGTAACTGCCTCTAAAAAGCAGAGAAGTTGCACTCAGCTCCAACATCTTCTACTAAGAACATCTCTCTTTTCCCAGTGCCCGTTTCATTTTCAATGCAAATTAAAAACAGAGAAGCAACTAATCAGATTTTTCCTACTATCATCAAAGCTACCTGAAGAACAGCTCTGATGACAAAAAGTACTACAGCAAATAAAAGTTAAGAGTTGGGGATGGGATGGGATGGGAATCTTCGCTAGTACAGTGGATTATTTCTCTGATTCTATCTTATTAATGATCAAGATTGTTTTTAACCAAATTATGTTTGCCTCTTGCAATTTGGAAGAATAGTTGAGCTGCACAAACTGATCTAAGAACCTCAAGTGGTGGAAATTCATTACTTTAGACTCAGAAGTATACAAATCCTAGACAAGTTGATCCATGAATAATCAGCCAATAGGAAACTACTGTATTAACCCCACAGGGAAAAAAATGCAGCCTCTTAAATAAATCACATCCAGAAGATGTCCTTTCTTATGTACTTCAGCCCTTGTAGAAGATCTTGAACAATGAGAACAGTGGTTCACACCTTATATGTCACCCACTTCTCAGTCAGCAGATTTTCTGTGGAAGGGGTGAATTCAAACATGATGTGGTCATTCCTTTGGACAGGCATAGTTGGCAATCCAATGAAGATCAGCCACTACTCCCCAGTGAAGATAGAGTATACTGACCACCACCAGCACGTGCATAATCTGATGGCTGTTGAACCAATAGTCAAAACAGCCTGGCTTCCAGCGCTCAGGCACTCGCGAGATGTTGATGACGCCCCCAAGAAAGGCCAGACCGTCCATAATGAGGTATGAATGCAGAGAGGCGGGATTGCCAGTGCCTAATCCCACCCACCGCAAATAGAAGAAGAAGAAGCGGAAGAGAGCCTGCCAGGCAAAGGCTCGTAAGCGCCGGACACTGGAACGAGCAGTCACTGCACAAAAGATACCATAGCTTGACAAGCCTGTGTAGGCCAGCAGGGCAATAGAACGAAGAAGTGGGGAGCAGGCCAGCGTGCAGTAGATGATTGGTAGAGCACCTGTGTGGAAAGAGACAGTCAGTCCACCAAGAAATTAAGGATAAAAACAATGGCAATCAGCTTACATGGCCAGTCACTACTGGTAGTCCCCCACGACAATGGAGCCTGGAATTTTGTAAGCCATTGTGGCCTAAATCAATAAATTGACCAGATTCAGTTTTACAATCTTTTTACAGCAATTATAAAGCAAGTCAGCAAGTCACTTGGTTGAACCACACGGTCATTAAACAAATCCAGCATATCCAATGGTTTGCTGTTTTCTGCTGGAAAATGGCAAAAAAGTTGCAAATTATGATCACATGACTGCGGGATTTTGCAACCAGTCACAAATGCTTGCTTGCCAAGTGCCTGAAATGCGATCATATGATCTCAGAAGAATGCGTGCAGAAGGCATAAATTTGATAATGGATCATAACTTTTTTTTTTACATCTATTCTAAACAGTTATCTAGTGGCTGTGGGTATCAAGTAGCTGTGGGTATTGCCTCCTAAAGACTATGTCGATTGTCCATCCTTGGTTCTGGCGGGGAAGAAATTGTCCCACTCAGAACGGGCTCGCAATTTGGGTGTCCTCCTAGACTCACAGCTAAGATTAGAGCAACATCTGATAGCTGTGGCTAGGGGCGCCTTTGCACAGGTTCACCTGGTGCACCAATTGCGACCAGGAGGCTCTCCTCACAATCACTCATGCCCTTGTCACCTCACGGTTAGATTATTGCAACGCGCTCTACATGGGGCTACCCTTGAAAAGTGTTCGGAGACTACAGTTGGTCCAGAACGCAGCCATGCGAGCTGTCATGAGTGCACCTAGGTACACCCACATTACACCAATTCTCCATGAGCTGCACTGGCTCCCTATTGGTCTCTGGTCACAATTCAAGGTGTTGGTTATTATATTTAAAGCCCTACATGGCTCAGGGCCAGGTTATCTTCGAGACTGCCTTCTACCGCATAGATCCCACAGAGTTGGTCTCCTCAGGGTCCCATCAGCTAAACAATGCCGGCTGGCGGGCCTGTGGGGGAGGACCTTCTCTGTGGCTGCCCCAGCTCTCTGGAACCAATTACCTCCTGAGGTCCAGACTATCCCCACCCTATTGGTCTTCCGAAAAGCAGTGAAGACCTGGCTTTTCCGGCAGGCCTGAGGCCATTGATCTCGCTTTGCGATCTGTCGAGATCCAGCCATGAATGGTGTGAATGGATTTTAAAGTTTTTAATGTTTTTAATTTTTAAGTGTTTTTATAGTGATTTTTTGAGTGTATTGTGAGCCGCCCTGGGTCTTCGGAGAGGGGCGGCATATAAATTGAATACATACATACATACATACATACATACATACATACATACATATATACATACATAAAGTTGTTAAGCAAGGACTACATGTAGCACTCTTGAAATATTTCAGCTGTCCTTCAGATTCTCCCAGAGCAAACAGTCCTTGTATTTACAACAATGGAAAGCCCCCTTTTCCCCAAATAATCTTTACAATGCAAAGATCATTCACGGAAAATATGTTTTTCATTGTTTTAAATTCAGTTTCTTTTAAGTCAGCATGAGTATTTCCTTTCCAAGCATAACCAGAACTGCTCAATTCTAAACCCCTCCTACTCTTCTTCATTCTTGAGCTTTTACCCAAGATGGCTTTTGCAATCACATAAAGATTGGCTCTTCAGTACCCAAAGTCAACACAATTTGGCTTGTATGTCCTCTATGCAACTTGCTCCCAGCTCAAAAAATACCACTTTCAGCCCTCCTGTGTTTTCAGCACCCAGTGCAACTTTGTCCCTTTTTTGCTGCTCCAATCCAGTAAGTCATATCCATGGATAACAAGAGAGCATTTTAACTCACCCAAAGTGTTGACCATGCATACCCCACACATATCCAGGGTGAGCAAGGTATGATAAACAGCAGGGCCTCCCTCATGATTCATGAAGAGATGGTAAAGCACGCTGCCCAGCTGTGGAAAAATGCAAGCCAAATAGTGCACAACTCCCAGCCATGATTCTGAAAGTCGAGCCCATGGAATGGTCAGTGGCAGCACGAAGAGAAACCCCAGCAGAGGGATACCTGAAAGAAGAGGAAAGAGAAAGAACTGAGAGAAAGGATTATTACTCAGTGTCCAAATAGGGATAGTATCAGAGATCCTTGTACCTTTTTGCAATCAGCATTTCCTGCATCTTATCCCACCCATAGTGTATGTTTGACCCAAGCAGCAACCTTTGTTCATCAGCTGTCACAGAGCAACAATGAAAGAAATTTCATGAACCCAGAAATTACACCAAAGCATTTTTGTGTGGGGACACTCTTCCTATTTTTAAAAGCCCTCATTTTAAGAGATAACTTTTGCTTTAGTACAACTTTCCTATTCCTTCCACAGCTTGACAGCTTCCTAATGTGTTGGGACTGCATGCAGGATGGGAATTCTGGGAGTTGAAATCCCAACATATCTGAAAAATATCAGACTGGGGGAAGCTGGTTTATTGATTTCCTCTTGTTTACTTCAGGTGAGGAAACCTTCAGCAACACTCAAAAATGTTAAGGGACAGGGGATGAAAGAAATGGCATCCTTGTGCCAGTCTTTTTTGTGAATGATATACTGGAAATTTGTCAAAAGAAAGCACAAATACAAAGAGAAAAAGTTAGAATTAAAAACCACTTGCAGATCTCCAAATTTGTAATTTTTCTTAATCTACACTATTAAAACTGCTCTTCGGTTCTCTGAGCAGAGAGGTACAGAGGTACCATTATATCTCAGTGTTTCTCAACATTGGCAAGTTTAAGATGTGTGGACTTCAACTCCCAGAATTCCCCAGCCAAATTTGCAGCTTAAACTTGCCGACACTGAGAAACACTGTCATATCTCTTTGGGGTTTTACATGATTTCCAAACCTCCTTTTGGGGAGAGGGGACACCATAAATTGTCTACGTATCACAATTGAGCCCAGCCTTTCTGTTGCTAACCAAGAAAGTTGTTAGGTGGGTTGTGGTCCATTTTACAACCTTTCTTGCCACAGATGTTAAGTGAATCATTGCAGTTGTTAAATTAATAATACGGTTGTAAACCAAATCTGGTTCCCCAGTGACCTTGCTTGTCAGAAAGTCACAAAAGGTGAACACATGACCCCAGGACCCTGCAACAGTCATAAATAAATGCCAGTTGCCAAGTGTCTGAATTTTGATCATGTGACCAAAGGGATTCTGTAAGGATCGTAAGTGAAAAACAATCATAAGTCATCTTTTTTCAGTGCCACTATAACTTTGAATGGTCACTAAACAAATGGCTGTAAGTCAAGGATATATTCTGTGCATTAGCTATCCAGGTTCTGGCATTTAGTGGGTGTCGGGAAGGATCTCTGGAAGTGCTATCAGAATGGCATATGCAGTCTACTTTCCTTTAAATTCTCAGAGCAAAGAGATACAGACGTTACATTACTTCATGTCCCTCCGTACAGAATTTTACATGACTTCCCCATTCTGAAACTACTTTCCATATTCCGTCCTGCAATCACGAAGTGCTGGCAACTGAATAGCTCCTAAAGTTAATGCACTGCACTAACTTGCACTAAGATGCAAATGTCCACGACTTGAATTGTTGGTAGAGGCTTTGAACCCTACAGAATAGCATCTTCTTATCTCAATAAGGACAGAACTGTTCATACAATGCTTTTTACTGTGCAATGTACCGTATTTTCCGGCGTATAAGATGACTTTTTAACACATGAAAATCTTCTCAAAAGTCAGGGGTCGTCTTATACGCCGGTTGTCGTTCTCCTGTAACCAGGCAGACCAGCCCGAAAGGCTCTGACGAGCCTTAAATGGCTCTGACAAGCCAAGCTCTGACCATCTCAGCTGAGTTGCCTGCTAATCAATAGCAAAAATCCTCCCCCCCCCTCCAGCTTGCTTACCTTAGCTGCTAGTCGCAACGCTTGCCTTGCTTCGCTTGCCTGCAATCCATTCCATCAGCAAGCAACTTAATCTTCCTGCCTGCAATCAAGCAGGCAGGGAGTTGTGGACTTCAACTCCCAGAATTCCTCAGCCAGCAAAGCAAAGCTGGCTGAGGAATTCTGGGAGTTGAAGTCTACAAGTCTTAAAGTTGCCAAGGTTGGAGACCCGTGTTCTATTGGGTAAGTTTTTTTCCCCTTTGGGAGCTTTAAAAAAATAGTTAATTGGGGGTTTTTTTAGTTTTTCTTTTTTTAGACCTAGCCATTTAAAGTTTAGGAAGTTTTAAATTTAGCTGCTTTTATATAAAAATAAAAATAAAATAAAATAAAATAATATTTGTGCAGCTTTCTGAGATTTAGTGTGTTTCTGTAGTGTTTCACTCTAACTACACAAACACACAAAATCTCACAAAGCTGTGAAATTTTGTGTATGTAAAGTGTGAAAGTTGGTTTTTGGGACTTTTTGTGGCTGTGTGAGGTTCCTGCTTGTTGCAGGGGCCATTTTGGGTTTAGCACAGCTGCTTTTACATTGTGGGTGAGCCAGTTGTGTTGTGTTGTGTGTGTGTATTTTTATTAATTTTATTTTATTTATTTATTTTATTTTATTTTTATTTGGTATGCATTGGAAGAGGGGTAGTCTTATACTGCGAGTATAGCCCAAACCCTATATTTTAACAGGAAAAGTCGGGGCTCATCTTATGCGCCCAGTCGTCTTATACGCTGGAAAATACGGTAACTAGTAAAACTCATGTGGCATTCTTTGATTTTTTTTTTCTTCAAAGAAAACAACTCACAAATATGAGGATATCTTCACACTTGTTTGATACCAACTCGTCATTCTCAAGGATATGATATATAATCTGTCATCCAGCCCTGATGATTCCTAAAAATTATTCTGAGGAAAAAAACATGGTATGTTACTATTACTATATTCTGGAGATGATTTCCTTTTCATGCCAAACCCAATGAATTTCATCCATTTCTGATTTGCACATGTATATGCTTGACCTTATCCTCTTTTGTCTCATCTCCTGTTTCCCCAGAGGTTGCAGCTTTACACAAACAGATTAAGTCTCCTTGAGCGCAATTACTGTGCTAATTAAGGCTGCCTGAAGCCAGATCTCAATTAGGAAGATGATAAACACCTCCCACCCCCTATCTTGAAGTTCATTAAGGGCCAGCAATTCTACTTGTGTCAGGCTCAAGAGAAGATTCTACAAGTCACGGAGTCAACAAGTAAAACTCAGGAGGCCTGCCACTAGACTAGAGGTAGTGTCACAAATTGAGGCATCATGGCTAGCATGCAGAAAGCTTATGGCCAAATGTGTTTTGCTAACAGGATTTCTGTGCCTTTAACAACAGTATGAAAAACAGTGTTAATTGGTAAGTCATTCCTCCTCATCCAAATTATCCTAACCCTTGCCAAAAAAAATCAGAAAAGATGTACTTCTTTCAGCTTTGTCCGACATATATCAAGAGCACTGGGAGATAAAAATACAAAAAAAAAAAGAGGGTAGGAATTGGTTTATTTAACTTACATGCTGCCCATCTTGCCATAAGCAACTCTAGGCAGTTTATAGTTATTCAATTAAAATGCAGTCTAAAAAATTAAAAAATAAATAAATTTAAATTTACAAGTCAGTTAAAGTAAAATTGACCAAGACAGAGAGGCAAGGAGCAAACAGGTGGGGGAGTGATATTTAGGAAGAAAAGCTTGAATCTCTTAAAACAGGGTCGTCAAGGCCTGGGGGGCCAGATCCAGCCTGTGGCCCATGGGGCCGCTCTGGAAACAGTGAAAGACCGGCCCATGGTGCCTCTGCCAGTGAAAATGGAGTTCGGGAGGGCTGTGGGCAGCCCTCCTGAGCTCCATTTTCACTGGCAGAGGGTTGTAGGAAGCCATCGCGGCCGAAAATGACTCCATTTTTGCTGGCAGAGCACTTGGGCCACCATAGGCGCCCCTGACACATGTGATGTTGAGCTGGATATGCCCACCCTGGCCACGCCCATCCCAGACCCCTGAGGTCAAACAACCCTGATGCAACCCTCAATGAAATCAAGTTTGACACCCCTGTCTTAAAACATCCCAAGAGTAGTACTTTCATCATGAAAGGCTCAGCAAGAACTGATAACCTTGGTAGACCAGGTTACTTTATCTTGATAATACAAAGAGAAAACTCCACTTTTTAAATCTGGCCAAAGCTCCATCCAGAAAGGGACAGGCAAAGTTTTACTCCAAGCCTTCCTTTAAATTCAGCACTGTTTAAACCAGTGGTTCTCAGCCTGTGGTCTACAGACCCCTTGAGGGCTGCAATGTCATCAGAGGGGCTTGAAGAAATGTTAGGATGATAAATCTTGGGTCTGTGGCCTTCATCCGTGGCAAAAAGTATTTAAAGGGGGTCCGTGGTGAAGAAAAGATTGAGAGCCACAGGTCTAAATTAACAGTTCCCCAAACCTGGGCTCTCCTACAACCCCCATAATACAAAGCAGCACATCTCTGACTGTGACAATCAGAACTACAGGCAACCACAGGTTAAGGAAAATTGACGTAACTTTTCCTGCCTGAACTAAACACTGGAATTTGGATATTTTACATCCAAAGCATGTACAGGTAGTCCTCGACTTTCAACAATTCATTTAGTGATCATTCAAAGTTATAATGGCACTGAAAAAAGGTGACTTATGACCGTTTTTCACACTTATGACCGTTGCAGTATCCCCATGGTCACGTGATCAAAATTCAGACACTTAGCAACTGGCTCATATTTATGACAGTTGCAGTGTCCTAGGCAGTGGTGAAATCCAAATTTTTTTTACTAACGGTTCTGTGGGTGTGGCTTGGTAGGCATGGTGTGGCTTGGTGGGCATGGCAGGGGAAGGATACTGCAAAATCTCCATTTCCTCCCCACTCCTGGGGGAAGGATATTGTAAAATCTCCATTTCCACCCCTCTTTGGGGCCAGCCAGAGGTGGTATTTGCCGGTTCTCCAAACTACTAAAAATTTCCGCTGCCGGTTCTCCAAACTGGTCAAAATTTCCGCTACCGGTTCTCCAGAACCGGTTCTCCAGAACCTGTCAGAACCTGCTGGATTTCACCTCTGGTCCTGTGATTCCCTTTTGCAACCTTCTG